GCCGTCCGCGCGGGAACGTTTTCCAGGGCCGCAATTAACGGCCCGCAACCGCGGCCGATAAGCCGTAACGACATTATAATTCCCGGTTGGGCCCGCGAATCGGCCTGGGAGTACTCGCGAATTCTGACGCGCTCGCTGCTCGGCCGCTTCGGGGTGCGTCCCCACCTTGCGAGTTTAAGTGTCGATGGCAACTTCACGGTTGTCATGAGCGCGAAGGAAGCGGAACCCGTCGCACCGCCCAGAAGGAGGATCGATGAAACTCTTTGCGGCACTCGATTCCGCCCGTCGGTTGCCGAGATATCCGCAAAAGAGCCCTGGCAGCAAGATGGCGCCTCGCGGCGCCTCCACCTCGCGACTTCGCGTGCCGATAGCTCCGCGCGGATCGCCTTGAACGTCCTTGCGGATAGATTTTTCGCATCCTGCGGCGGGAAGATCTCCGCAGGCGTATCCGCACATTGCAGCCGCGCGTATCGCGGCAAACGGCACCATCGGCGATCGCCAATCCGTTACGTGGGCCGCCATGGTCCGCGCAGCGGCCAATCATACGATACCGTACACTTACGAGCACTTCCAGGGCGTCTCGTTGCGTGCCACGGGCGAACGCCCGCCGACGATTACGTTGAATTACGCACAGCGCGTCCGCGAACGGATCGCAGGGAAGATGGAGGTTAATCCGATAGACGTGGGAAATGGCCAAGCGGTGGTCTAACCTCGGAATTAGAATCCTGGGCGTGCCTACCCTGTCGATCCGCGCGCCCTCGTTAGTCCGCGAGGCGGCCGCCATCTTGGAATTTCCGGACGGAACCACGCTCCGTGCCATAACCTATCTGAAAACGGAGGTAGAGAGAGAGAGGATGCACGGAAGGAGCCGGGATAATTGAAGACATCGGGCAGCCTCTTAATGAGACATTGATGACAGCCATTTGAATAACTTAAATGGCTGCCGACCCATCCATCTTTCCTTCCGTCACCCCCGTCTTACGTTACACCGGTCGACCTTCGGTCGGGCCTGGAATCGGTTATTCGGTAGTTAACCGCCGATTTAATTACGGACCAGTTTGTAGGCCTCGCTCGTTCCGGGCCCGACGTCCCCTCTCCGACCTCTTTTAGGTTAGGAGAAACGCCGAATCGATGGCGCCTCTCGGGCACCCATTAGGGGGACCCATCGGAATCTGCAGCGCGCGAGGCTCCAGGATGCCGTCGAGGAATTTTCATTTGTCGCGCCGATGCAGCCGGGGAAAAGAAAAGGCAAAAGGTGCCGCGAGGAATGCCCTGCACCTGACCTACGAGGTCAAGGCAACCTGGTCCAGCGCACACATCGAGTGGCTGGGCAGGACGAGGAGAGATATCCTTGTTCCCGGCGAAGATGGCCGCCGGCCACGATCGGTGCATCGGACCGATCATCGATCGGGATAACGACGACGCCGGAGATGCGCTCGCGGGAAAAACCGAGGAATTCGAAAAAGAAGCCGGGCCCAGCGGACGAGGCCGCTGCCTCGAACCGCAGAAGTCCTAAGACACGGTCCTTCGACGTCACGGATTGGACCTGGACCACAGGAACCAGGGCGGATTTTTTTTTTTCGACCAGAATCCGACGGAAAGGAGGCCGAACTCGATCGGGCGAGTCTGGACCCATTTGTAGGTTATAATGTACCGTTGGACTCGTCGCCACTCATCTCGCCTAATCTCCTGCCTCCGCGTTAATGCAGGCCCGCCATTTCGATCGTTATTCCCGTGGGGCCCGTTAGGTGGACAGGCGCAACGATTTACATAAACGACCTATGGCAGGACAGTTACATCAAGATCGTGGCGCAACGCGCCACTCTGGACAGCCCGGACCCCTCTTCGCGGTTATCTCTGCCTCTATCTCTTCTACATCGGAGATCGGATGTACGAGTGGAGTTACTTCACCCACACTTTGGGGGAAAAGGGATCCCACGCGTTCTATGGTATTCTGGGTGGAATATTCAACGCAGAGGATCACGGGACCCGCTCGATATGAAAAGTGTCTCCGAGTTCAGAACCTATGCACATATAGGAAAAATATGCTCGTCCCTGAATCTCTCCGCTTTCCTCTATCGAACGACCCCAACTTCGACGACGTTGGTGGTCCAGAAGCTGCGCTATGACCCGGAGAACCTTCGAGGTGGACGCCAACGTGGTGTCGCGGCCTACTCCCTGCGCTGAATCTCGAAATTTCGATATTCCTCGGGAAGCGGTAGACCAGGAGGCCGGGGAGCTTGCATTCCGAAGGCCTCCTTCTCCCTCTTTCTAAAAATACCGGGTGCAAGAATATAGATACTTTAGAACGCTAGTAATCGCCCGTCGAATTCTCGAGGTGACGCCAACTGCGCAGGCGCAGGTCCACTCCGGACGGCGGAGGACGCGCGTAGGTGGGCTCCTCCTCCGTGGCGGACACCGAATTCCTGTTTTCTCGGAAAGTAGCGGTCGTTTCACGAAAGCGAGAATATTTTCTCTTTCTCTCCTCTTTCCGGTTTCCAAAATGAACGGGGAAACCGATATGGACGGGATAGAGCGCCCGCGAGGCGTCCGCGGACCTTCGAGGTGGAGCGCCGCGACGTCTTGGCGGCGCGATCGGCCTCCCCTCTCGATTCCTGGTGCATTATGCTTTTCTCGAGTCACGTAGGGACGCCGTGGGCCCCTCGCTCGTTATTTATAGACTCCGTTGCATCGTAATGCAAGCCGAGCCACGAGAAAACGTGGGTGAATCGTGCGCCCGCGAGAAAGAGAGAGCGGGGGAGTCCCGAGGGCGCCTATCGGGAATGCCAGGGCGCCATGATGCGAATAGACCAGATCGCAATGCACATAACTCCCCCGGCGAACCTATCAGGTGGCGACACCGTCGCTTCCGTCTCTCCTAGCGGGCAATTCGAACGCGCAAGCCGCTCCCTCTCGAGTCTCCACTTTCTTGCCATTTTTCTTTCCCTTCTCACCTGCGCGAATTTACATCGCCTCGGATTCGATTCCCGAGTAAAACCAATTTCCGGACAGCTAATTAATGAGCGTGCTTGACTATTCGCTCGATATCCTGGAAGTTTTACCGAGTGGCCGCGGAAAAAGTCCGACGGAGAGTGGCGTGGTCGCGTGCCGCTCCAGCGAGCGTGGCGGCGAGAGCGGGAAAAAAGCGAACCGCTCGAAATAAACGCGGGCGATTCGAACCGCATGTTCGCTCCCACTTACGCACGTCGTTTTCTTCTCCCCGTAGACGTGCCAACATCCGCCGGAACATGGCCGAGATTTTTTCTCGAGGCGGATTTACAATCTACAAAGATCCACGGAAAAGATTTATCATCGGGAACTCCTCTCTTCGGTTATCGACGATCCGATCGGCCCAAATAAGACGGGAATTACCTGATAATTTATTGACTCCCGAGGAATAATTAATTGACTGTCTACATACGCGTTTAGAAATCCCGCTTTCAGCTGGGTATAATACTTTGTTGCGTTTCCACCGTGCGGATTTAAATTCTGAGGCTACTTGAGGAGGGATAAGCGAGGTGACGCTTGGTGGAACGAATGCTTGGGCCTTGATACGATTCCCATTAGAACTAAATATGCTCGATACGATCCGAGTCGCGTATATCGCCCGTAAAACGGCGAGGAATATACGAGGCGGCATTAAAATCCCCATTAATCACCCCGCGGTTTATCGCGGCCCGATCGCGGCCATTTTGGTCCCCGCGAACCGCGCTTTATGGGCCTTTGTTTCGCCTCGCAATTAATACCAGCCGATTCGAGCTCAGTTAACTCCTCGCAATCCTTGATCGCCATCGGGAACTTATTACGGCTGTTTCGAAGTCCACCCTCGGCGTAGCGTCGTCCTTCCTCTCCGGCGACGCCATCTTTGTTTCCGCCGCGCAGGGAATTGGAAGCACTTTTACTCGGGCCGATGTTCAGTGAATAATTACAGAAAACCGCGGAATACGGGGAAAGACCTCTCGGGAAATTAATTAGGCACCTGGATCGAGTACTCGGTGTACTCGGTCGGCAGAAAAGGAGCCAAAAGGGTTATATACTCGCGCATAACTTCACGCAGAAGACGCGCGCGGACGTCCTCGTAAATCCTGCCGGAAACGCGGGGAAGTTACGGGGGAGTCTATCGGCACGGATAATTAAGCACGGAAAGCTGGGGCCGGTCGTCCACTTCCGCGTGCGATGGGATTAAGCGCATAAATCCACAAGGTTCTTTCCCCTAATCGATGTCGCGATCGGTATCTCCTGGCTCGTGGTTAAGTCGTACGAACCGTTACCTCGGCCGAGCGTCCGAAGATCCTCCGCCGATAAATTGGACAATTTCGCGCTCCTGGACGACATTCTCGCAACGCCCACTCGATAACTCGACCTCGAATTACCGGGGAGGGAAAGGAAAATTAAACCGCCGATTTTTACAAGGGTCTAAGCGTGAGCGCGAACCTCGGCTCAGGACGCGCGACGCGAAGAGCGCCACCCGAATTCGACGTCTTCCTTCATCCTCTTTCCTCCGGGATTCCTCCGCGGCATCCATCCTCGAATTTACTGCGGAAGAAGATCGCTAAGCCGAGTAATTTACGAACGAACAAATGGATGCCGAAGAGGGAGAAATAAAAGCTACCGAGGTTCCGGCGAGGTTTATTCCCGAATTTCTTGCGACGAGGAAAGAAGCAGGGAGGAGGGATTTACGGCGAGGGGAGCAAATCGAAAACGACGTACGAATTCCTGGAGGGACACGCCTCGGGGTGTTTTGACGGGTTCTCGATTTGCCTCCTGGATTCTTCTCGGATCCGGCGGATAAACGGCGAGGGGGCGAGGGAGGAGATCGGCGTGACTCCTTCCTGGGGGCCGTTGCCCCCGGACTCCCCTCGAACCTAAACCTGGACTGACGAAGTGTCGATTAAAAGTCTACGTTACGAGCTTCCCCGAGAATACCGAGGAGCTGAATTTTTAACGCCGCCTCGCGGACGGTTTTCACTTTTGACGTCTTCTTCGGGAGGATGAAGAAGTCATCGCCTGATGGCCGTGGCGAACTTCCGGATGTCGCATTTTGCCCCCGGTGGACAGGTCTCCGAGGAAGCCGCGTCTGGACCCAGGGCCAGAGCCTGCGAAAAGATGAAGGAAGGTCCAAATTTAATCCGGGATTAAGTGCTTAATCTCCGAAATGCTTGGATTACATTTCCTTTTTACTCAGGGTCTTACTTCGCCTTTTTTTATGGCGGCTTTCAATGGCGGGATCGCATCATCCACCAGCTTGCATTCCTTCCCCTCCAAGGGGGGTACTCCTAGGTGCTTCTGGACCCCATTGGGTCCCAACAAAATAGGCGCCGAAAAATAGGACACTTCCGGTACCACGCAAGATCGCACGTAAGCGCACTCCACCACTCCCTTCTGGTCCCTCAGACCTAGAAAAAAAAAATTCGGGATATGTATTTTCCCACCCTATTTTCTTGTAATTATTTTTTTCATCCCCATCTAAATCGATTTTCCGTCGAGGAGTAACCTTTGCACAAGGAGACGCAGAATCTCGCGGCAGCAAACGCCATTGCCAGGGTGGAGGAGCCTCCTCCGCCGTATTCCCTCCTGACCTCGTTACTCGAATTCCTGAGGGATCTCACGAGCTTGTTAACTTCCTCCTGAGGGAATTCCATTTGTTAGTCCTCCTCCCATTCGCGGAAAGACCGGGAACTCACAGCCGTGAACTCGTTGGAGGGTTTCGCCTTCGACAAGAGCGGCACGCAAGTTTGGGGGCAACTTCCCCCAATCACGGGGACCAGCACGCATTCGGGAGGCAGTCCCAAAATCTGAGCTGCGAAGGTGTTCGCCCTTACGCAATCCAAACTCGTCACTCCGAACAATCGACCCTCCTCTTGAACGCCAACCTTCTTGTACATCTCGTGGACCATCGGGATCAAGCTGTTTACCGGCTCCGTAATCACCGCCACCAGGCTCTGAAATCATTGCAAAATCACTCGCGATTATTCTCTAAACGATAGAAAAAAAAAAAAAAATTCCCTCGTCGATTCCTGGAAAATGGTCCGATTCCTGGAATCTGGTGGATTAATTTAGGCGCAGCCAAAGCTAAGTCGCGTCACCTAGTGCGACACCTCGATGAGTCCTTAACCCTGAACGCGGAACGCGCGATCTGCGGCATAAACGTCGAGGCGTGCAAGAACGGTATTAACGAGGAGTCTTAACCGGACAAGGTCAATTACATCCGGCGCGTGTACTCGCGGTGTGCGCTCGTTGCGGTGCATTGCGGCGCATTATTCCTCCCCGGCACGTAGGCGCGTTGTGACGCACTCCCGCGCCAAAAACGCGTACGCGCGTCCACTACGGCCACTTTGTGCGCTTACTCGGTGCACTTTGTGTTGTACGGGATTAATGCTCGACACGCGCGACGTGGGTCGACAATGAGCACGCCCTGCGTCCCTTGGCACCGCCGCCATTATTCCGGACGCGTCTTTTCCCTCCTCCGTGACCCTAGGCCACTTCCGCGTTTTCACGGGCGAAGGCGCAGGACACGATTGGGACGTGTCCTGGGAGTCCCGTGTCGACTCCTCGTGGGATATCGAAAGCGTGGTTGGACGTCGTCGAGGGGAATACTGGAGAACGGTGGAGAACGGTGGAGAACGGTGGAGAACGGTGGAGAACGGTGGAGAACGCTGGAGAACGCTGGAGAACGCCGTAAAGAACACCGCAGGATGTCGGAAAACGCCGAGTAACGCCTGAGAACGGTGCGGATACTCCCGGAGGAGGTAACGCGTTTCCTTGAGACGCCGGTTTCTTGGCCTCGACCTTCTCCCAGAGAAGGATGGAACGATTCCGGCATCTCTCGAGAATCGAGCCTCTAAAGTGCGAGCAATGTCGAGGACGCCGGTTAATCGACGCGGCGCGGCCATTCCGCGCGAAACTCTCCCCCCGGGTTCTACCCGTTGCGCAAAAACGGGACGATAAATCATAAATTCAGAGCACGGCGACGCAATCCCTCGATTAATTAATTATGCCGGCAGGAAGATCGGCCTCGATCGTTCCTAGATATCGAGCGTCGTCGGCCGATCCGCCCTACTTAGTCCACGTCGAGGAATTATATTTTTTCTTTTTACCTTAATAGTGCGTTTTAACTGCAACCAAAACCGTAAATCGATTATCAGGTACCCTGTCGACTGACCGAAGTAGTCGATAGGGTGTTGTACCGAGCGCTTGGTTGAGTTCCGCCCCAAGCGCATGCGGTTCGTTTATCCGAGGCGACCGAGGCTCTTTACGTCAATGTTAGGACTAATTAATGGAAAAACGGGGGGAAATGGAAATACGAGTGCGCGGGCTTTCCCGGGAATTCTGGCGAGGCAGGGTGTCACTTCCGAGGAAGTTCGGTTCCGGAAAATCGAAGGGTCCATCGCCACCCTCCCACGCGAGTGCGCTAATTGCTCGGCGGGGTTTGCTCGCGTCGTTAGAGTAATCGCCCCACGTATTACGGTGCACCATTAGTGTCCGGCCAGCACGGCACTTAATAATCGTATTATGGGGCTCTCCTAGACAGGCCATCTTTCCGACTAGTCACCGCGCGACTCTCCTCGAGTACGTCAATCTTCGTTAAGGCGCAATTAAAATCCCGGACTACCCGCCGGCGATAAATCCTCATTGAACTGGTACCGAGGAAATTAGAGGGAGACGGCTTTCAGATACGAAATGCGACGCACACCCACTCGCGCCGCGTTTCTCCGGGAACTCGTTCCAATTTCTGCGAGAACTTTCGTCGCCGTTCCGAAGGGATCCCTCTCGGTGGATTTGGTCCGACGGAATTTCAGACGTCCTTGCAGACCCTGCGGAGGCGCCACGTCCTTCTGGGACTCTCGATCGATCAAGTTCCCGGCGATCAAAAATCCATCGGCGGTCTCCCTATCGATCGGCGGACCGCGAGGGACAAATGATGATCGATCGATCCTTGATCGAGCGCCGAGACGCAGAGCGGTCCTTGCTCGAGTTAAAGGCTCGCGTTAACGCCGTTACTTAACATTCGTACCGATATCTATCATAGTGCCATCGCGGTGCATCCATTATGGGCCACATTTAGTGCAAGCTCTAAGTAAATACCACCGCCACCCGGACTGCATAAATTACCGCACTTGCGCCGTCAGACCGGACTGGCGTCCCACTCCTCTCCCCGTGTCGGTGTAAATTATGCCCCGTTCAACTGGTCACATAATATCCCTGATAACACACGGAGCGATGCCGGGAATTCGACCCTGCATCTCCGTGGAGATGGTGGGAAGAAAAGGAAAGTCTGGAAATTGATGGATGCACCGAAAAAGTCGATTGGAAAATGCGGCCCGACGAATCGTCGCGATTTTCAGGGTATCGCGAGATAAGACTCGCTTTGATAACTCCATGGCGATTTTCAGGACCTCCTGACATGGAAGGACTCACTCTTGGGCAGTGGCGAATGATTGCGGGTATCAGGTCGGCCAGGACGTCGGCGTTCCTGTGAAGGACCTCGTCCATGGAGTCGTGCTGTCCTCTGGGCTCCCCAGCGGCGACCATGACGATCTTCGCATCCTCCAAAGTCGCCATCAAGGAGGTGTCCTGATCAGCGGAACAGGAGGTGATCCTGCACCTGGTGTCGATATGGTTCAGCTCCAAAGCCAGCCCATCGATGGGCCTCGCATCATGGATCGCAAGCTCGTCGATCAGTGGAGACTGCTTCAGGAACATGGAAAGACAGGTCCCTGAGGATCAAGCAAGATCCAATGAGCGGATCTTCTCAAAGTACCCAATTTAAATCCAACCACCCTTGAGATGAGACCTGTAGGTCCAGCAGCTCCCAGGAGGGCGACCTTCATGGACTTGGAATTCCTGGCAGCCGTGAACTTCGACCTGGACCGAAAATCAGCGACCAGGAGGGAGCGACCAGCCCTGAAGACCCCCCTCGAACCCTGAAGACCTCCCGCCATGGCCGAGCCCCTGTAACCAAAAATTTTTGTCGGCTAACCTAAATTCCCTAACGTCATCCCTGGACAATGTTCGGAGGACATAAGAGTGGTGGACATTGCCTTGGGAGAACTCCACTCGTTCCCACGGGAGTTCCAGCTCTCCTCCCATTCGGTTCCCGGACGCGGAGCTGGTCCCAGCGAAAGGGGAATTTCTCTCCGGAAACCCGGGGTATCCAAAACTCCTGGGGCATAAATTATCCCAGGAGTCCCACGGCACCCTCGACCCGGAAACTTTGGTCCCAGATTTTTATCGAACTGGGTCGCCGTCGAGAGACAAAGTGCATCTTTCGATGCACACATTGGCTTAATTGGGCCACTCGGAGTGCGTCTCGCCGGTCGATTGTGCTCGGGTTTCGAGATAGGGAACTCCTCGGACGTGGCGCCGGTTTTACGTTACCGACCTTATCGTCGTGTCGGCAATGATTACGTCAGGGTTCCCTGGTAGGCGCAATTTACCGCGAAGAGTGCCATTAGACTCGGTAAAACGTTCTCCGGTTAACTGCGCTCGTACGCGTCCTCGATCGTCCCTATCGGTTCTCATCGGTGTAAACGAGTGATCCCATAACGATCTCCTCGTATCCCGGGATTAATTCCTTCCAATTAATTAATCCCAACATTATTTCCCATTGCCATTGATCCTCGGATGATCCACCGGGGAGATTATCCTTGCAAGCTCCTTTTAGACGTGGATTTTCTCCCGCGAAGGGGAGAGCCCTTGGCGGCCATTTTGGAGAACCGGTGCAGCCGAATTCGCTGCGCCATTCCGGAATCCAAATCGCGGGTAAACTAATGGAATGCCATCGACGTCATCTAGGAAGGAATGCGTTCCAAGGAACTCCAACAGCGAGAAACGTGTCACGCGATACCCCGCGACTTCGAGGTCCTCCAAGAAGGTGACCTGGACGTGACTTTAGTCGGATATCTCAAGGCCAGGTTCCCTATGGACACCCCATGGAGTTTCGCGGTAGACCTTCGCTCCAGGAACTCCTTCTCTCCGAACCTCGTTATCCTCTATACGCGGGTGTGAAAATTCCAAGAAAATTCTCTTCATCGACCAAGAATCGGAAATCTCCGAATTCAGATTTTCTCCAGGCTAAGTCCTGAGGAATCATTCAGATATGAGAAAATATCAAGGTGTAGGAACGTCACTTCAGAATCACATGACCTTAGAGAGGACTGGTTTCGGTTTACGGGTGTCTGGACATCAGCTCCCACCCTGAGATCCATGGGTCCTTGAATTTCCATCGGGTAGAGTTCCTCTGGATCTTTTAGGGACAGCTTGCGCCGGGAAAATGTCCCTGGGATTGCCGGCGAAAAATGCACTTGGCGCGCAACTCGCTATCTCGGTTTCTTAAGCGGTGATTTACGCCCGACACGAGCCGAGCCGAGCGGAGCGGAATGAACGGGCTCGGAGACGCCCACCGATCGAAATCCTGTTATAATGGCATCGAGAGGAACGAGCCAGGCCCCCAGGTTGCGCCAGGTTGCCATCAGGTTGCCGCCAGGTTTCCGCCAGGTCGCCGTCAAGTAGTCCCGAGTTTTCACCGGCTGGCTGCCGGAAACCGATCCCAGGAATCCCGGGAACCCCATAAAACACCCGACCCAGCCCAGCCATGCGAGGACACTCGCCCAGGTGGCTTATCATCGTCCATCGATCTGCCTCCTTCAGATTAAGGCCGATCAAGGGCGTCCCGAGATAAACTACAACCTGGAGCCTTAATCCGGACGCAAGGGTCCATGGAATCTCCATGGGGAACCGGAGAACGGTAGTCCGTTCCACCTCAACGCTCTCGTCCGAAGAAACCATCCCGGGGATCTACCGAGATGGACGGTGGATCCCCTCTGGAATCCCTAGTTAATTCTGATAATTGCTCCTAGAATCTTTTCCACCCTAGAAACAAAATTCGTGTTCCGGTTCCCCTCGCTTATTCTCTAATCCTGATGCTTAAATTCATTTTCAAGGCGTTTAACCCGGCGCAACAGAATTCTGGGAAGCGAAGAAATTCATTCTCTGCGGAGAATATCGCGAGATGGAGGTTTCATTTTTGTTCGCCAATAATTTCTTCACCGTGCGGTGATGTCGAGCCGACCTGGCGCAGCGTCCTACGTGTTGCAGAAGGCTTGTGCCGCCATCTAGCAGATCCCCTCGGAAGTGTGTTCACGATTTAACTATTTCCTCCATTATCGAGGTGAGTTTTCGACTAAACTCGAGGGATACCTTCACTTTAGACTTGTCGGTAACGCGTCTGGAAATTACTGACGCAATGCAACTAATCGACTGTTCAAAGTCTCAACTCTAGACAATAAAGTGTATCGACACGTGGTATCCACATTTTTAAATTCTAGCTTATCCTTTTTCCATTTCTTCCCCTTCAGATATTCTCGACCGCTAGAGTGACGTCGGTAACCGAGATATCGGTCATGTTCTCGTAAATGACGTCCACGTCGGTGGAAATGAGGAAGTAATAAATAGCGGCTGGCAGAACGAGGAACGCTAAACAACAACAGCAGCACAACGAGAAGTAGATCCCGATGACTTCGACGATGAGCATGAAGACCCTGGCCAAAAGACAGCATACCCAGGCCACTTGGAAACACACCCACCCCATTCGAAATAGTGATCAGCTACTTCTTCGGCAACCTCTTCGTCATCCCGACGACACCAAAAAATCCCGCGATAAGCTCCAATAAAGACGATTCCTCGATCGATCCCGCGTATCGATCTCCTACTCCACCCGTACAAGGAGAGCCCTTTCCTCTCAGCGATCTGGAAAAATACCAGCGATTAAATTCCCGGCATAGAATTGAAATCCAAATAATTATTGGAAAGAGTTGGACGGAAAATATATAAAAATGTGAACTGTCCAAAAATCTCGGTACTCACCCCTTTTTGAGGTGCACTTCCCGCGATGGGTCGGACATGTCAGCTCGTCCTTCGGGATGCATAATTTTCGGTTTATTAATTTACGGAGTCTCTGCAAGAATGTATTAATTCTCCTCGAGGTAGACTAAAGATGTTGAGTATGATTTTCAATCTGGATATTTAATTCCCCGAGTATTTCCCATTACTCCTTTCCATCGGCTTGACGTGAGTGGAGGAACCGTCAGCGGGATTCCATCTTTCGTTTCTTCCTTTAAGGCCGATTTGCACATTCTTGTACAATACGTACAAATAGGGACATGCAAACATGAACAATAAGAAAAAAATTACATTGGCAATTATTATATCATTTTATGTGGAAACGTCGAAAAATGGAAATTCTTTAGGTGTTAGATCCTTAAGGGTGGGAATTTTTAGACCGAGCCGATTCCGGCCGGACTGAATGGACTAATTAAAGGTCCATTGAGCAAGACTCGTAGAGCACTCCTCGTGTAACGAGCATACTCGCATTTCTCTCGGTGAATGACGTAACGAGAGCTTTCGGGGCTCGATCGATCGAATTCTGGAGCTTGCGTGGTGGGAAGAGCACCACGCGACGCCACGTTCTCCATCGGGCCTCGAAAGAGCCTCCTTGTAGCCTCCCTGATAGGTCTTATCATTTTCCCCGGAGCCAGCCCTGGTCCTTTATCACCCTTCTCGATACCCAAGGTAAGTGGCAGTGATTAGTGCGGTGATAAAAATTAATTAACAATTAGAACGTCCTCGAAGCCCCTTAACGTCTCGGTCATACGCCGAAGTGTCTGGTCGCCTGATAACGCTGGTGCCGTTATCACTCCTCGATATCTCCCTTTATTAATCTCCATTACTCCGTAAAAAAATTCAATTTGCCGGATTATTAATGGTATTGAAGAATAATTACATTTCAAGTGTTTAAGGCGTGACTTTATCAAGGACCGAGTCGCTCGTTCCGTTTTCCAGAAATCTCGGGAAAAAAGGAATCGACCAAACCTAACGACATGCCGTCAGTACGGCGGATGATCCTCGGCCACGTAATGTCGGGCATGTTCTCGAAAATGAATCGCACGAAGAAGCTGCAAGGGGACGTCATGGAGACCCCCTTAAACCGGTGTCTGTCCACCTTCGACATTACCCTACTAGGTAGGCCTATTTTAATCCACCCTCGGCCTAGAAAAGACCGAAGATTTACCCCTCACCTAGTGACGTTGAAAAATGATCCATTAGAAAATCCTGTCATATTAATGTAAGAAATCGCGACGAGATGGAGAGTAAAAAATGTTTATAAATTCCGTACGATTTAGATACCAGGAGTTGCGTTGTAATTTAAAGGGCTGGAGTTCGAGGTGGAGTCTGATAATGTTTTTTACTGACCCAGGGGTCGGTCACATGGTCGGGGCCGGCATCTACGTCTTGACGGGAACCGTGGCCCACGACACGGCAGGTCCTGGGGTGGTGCTCAGCTTCCTTTTAGCAGGATTGGCCTCTCTTTTGGCAGCCCTTTGCTATGCCGAATTCGGAGCCAGGGTGCCAAAAGCCGGCAGTGCCTATGTCTACACCTACGTGACCATCGGAGAGTTCTGGGCCTTCGTGATCGGCTGGAACGTCATTCTGGAGCACATGATAGGTACCCTTAGACGGAGCCGAAAATCGTCCAGGAGGAAAGATAAAAATTATTTTAAAATCCTCAGGAGCCGCCTCGGTCGCGAGAGCTTGGAGTGGGTACGTGGATTCTCTGTCAGGAGGTGCGGTCAGCAACTTCACGAAGCACACCATAGGAGGAGTGTCATTGGGCGAGCCTTTGGCCCACGTCCTGGATCCCTTGGCGTCAGGACTCTGTCTGATCTACGCGTTGCTTCTTGCCATGGGAGTGAAGGGATCCGCGGCAGTCAACTCCCTTCTGACCCTGGTGAATCTAGGAGTCATGACGCTGGTCGTGGTCCTCGGCATCTACTACATGGACATATCCAATTGGTCCAGCCAAACCGGAGGTTTCCTGCCCTTCGGGTTCAGTGGGGTCCTGGCTGGTCGGTGTCGAACCATCGTATCAACCATCATTTTAAAAAAATCCTTAAGGAAGAGGATGACCTTCTTCTCGATTTCCAGGAGCCGCCACTTGTTTCTACGCCTTCGTGGGATTCGATTCCATCGCGACTGCTGGGGAAGAGGCTAGAGACCCTAGCAAGAGCATTCCCCTAGCCACGGCGTTCTCCATGGCCATCGTCACCTGTGGGTACGTCATGGTCAGTGGGGTCCTCACCCTAGTCGTCCCATACTGGGAAATAGATCCGACAGCCGCCCTTCCCGAGGCATTCTCCTCCAGAGGGATCTACTGGGCGAAATATGTGATCAGGTGAGTACACCCAGGTACTTAAAAAGTCCTTCGAGTTCCACCTCCGGATTTTAAATTCCAGCGTGGGAGCTCTCTGCGGGATGACGACCACCCTCTTCGGCTCCCTCTTCTCCCTTCCTCGCACCATGTACGCCATGGCCACTGATGGACTGCTCTTCGGGTTCCTGGGAAGAGTCAACCAGCGGACCCAGGTGCCCATCGTGAACCTGGCCATCAGCGGCTTCGTCAGCGCCCTCATCGCCATGATCTTCGACCTCCAGCATCTCGTGGAGTTCATGTCTATCGGCACCTTCCTGGCATACACCATAGTCTCCGTGAGCATCATCGTCCTCAGGTACAGGCCAGAGACGACGAGTCCTGCTCGATCTTCCACTTCTGGCACCCCGACCAGCCCCAATTCTCCACCGACCGAAGGTGCAGACTCCAACAGCGACTGCAACAGCGTCGGCTCCACCGACTCCGAGGTGTCTGACCATCTCTTTGCGTTTCTACTTATCCCTAATCATCATAGTTAATACCAGAAATTTTTAACACTTAACAATCTTCGATGCCTCTTCAGCTTCTCGACGTCTGCCATGTCACGGGAGCTCTCAGGCCCCAGTATCTTTGGGTGAAGAACGTCCTGGGACACTGGGAACCAGGAACGGCTGTTGTCGCCTCCACCAAGCTATTCATTGCTGTCTGCATTTCTCTCAGCTTCACTCTCTTCCTGTTATCCCAGGATAACTACTCTCCCAGCTGGTGGGACTACTTCATGCTCGTCAGCCACGTCCTGATCCTGGCGTTCAGTGAGTTCCCTTTCAGCTGGGCCTCTAACGTCTCTGGGGGAGATAATCATTATTAATCCATTTTATAGAAATTATTACAAGGGATCCGATTAATCAGGTTGAAATATTTTTCTCCAGGTCTCTCGGTGATCGCCGTTCACCAGCAGAGCCCTAACACAGGGAAATTCAGGGTGCCTCTGGTTCCTTTGGTACCAGCCCTCAGCATCTTCTTCAACATCACCTTGATGTTCCATCTTTCTCTCCTCACCTGGCTGCGCTTCCTCGTTTGGATGGTCGTGGGTAAATATTTAAATTATAGGCAAATCCGGAATTTTTCCCGGGAATTTATTTAATAAATTCGTTTTAGGGCGTTCCATTTAAATTATGAAATCATGACACGAGAAAATGGTTAAGGGCATTAAGGAGGGTTTTTTTTTTTCCCAGGCATGCTCATCTACTTTCTGTATGGGATCCACTACAGCAAAGAAGCTGCTGGACCGAATTCTTACTCGATCCTGATGGCCTCTTCCGAGGCGGAAAGAGGAGCAAAGTGGGGAGCGACGTTACGGGTCGGGCAAAAAAGCGACAAAGTGCCGATTTTGAGTTCCGAGGAGGTACACCATTAAAATGGAGATGCCTTTTTCGAGCTGAGGAAGGCATTTGATATAAATTCAGAGGTCCCCAGGATCTGGAATTTCGCACCCCCGGGGGGATAATGTAATCTGCCAATAGAGTAGGGATAAATTTTCGGGATATATGCCGACATTGGATTAGAAAGTTAATCCTCGAAGTGGGGAAAATTATTCCCTCCCAAAGTCGGACTGATTTTGAATTTTCTTTTAATTTCTTTCTTCATTTCAATATCACCGTAAGCCTCAAAATTCTGGATGGTACTTGTTACTATTTTTTGGAGCCAGCCCCGGTGTCTTTCAATTTCCCAGCTAGACGTGAGTTAAAAAATTGATAAAGTGAGGAATTAATTGAAGGGAAATAAAAAATTAAGATTGACCAAAGGCAGGCACTGAGGAAAGTATGGGGAAGCTCTCGATAAGACGTCGGTGCCTTGGGAACAGGTGGATTAATTTTTGTGGGAATTAATCTCTACCGATGAGGAAACCTTGACAATAGATCGCACATTAGAGCGAGATCGTACATTTAAGAGGACCGGATGAAAGGATTATATTGTAACAATTCCAGGGTGGGGAATTTCTTTTTTATATAAATTAAAATTCTAGATACTTAGAGGTCCGACCTTGGATAAAGAAAATTCGGTGAAAAGTAGCGTTTGCTATCACTTTGTACGCACTGATAAATCCTCTTCAAGGAGTCCCTCTTTTCAAAGAAAATGGGGGAAAAGATTTCGAAGGAAAGAAATTGGAAGTAATTCCTCTATATAAAGGAAATGTAAGAAAATTAATGTCGCACGCCAAAGAGAACGTTCATCGCAAATCGCAGGTATACATACATGTACATTGTACATTATTAATTAAAAGAGTCTATTATTATAGTAACGATAAGTCGCTGTCGGTATTGGGACGACTTGTTAATAATCGTCCGAGATCTGTAAATAATGTGCAATTTATATTGCAAATTATTCGTCACCTTGTCTTGATGAAAAAAAAGTTGATCGGAGGGAAGTCGAGAATTTCAACTTGAATGGTGCATACCTTTATCCTCGAATACAAATATTAATAATTCGATGTAATTTAATCTCTTCCCACGAACGGACAAATATTTCAAAGACTTTGTAAAAATAGATAAAGAAGTCGTTTCAATTAAGTGGAACTGAGGTAGGCATTTGCACAAACCAAGTGCACAAAGTATTTATGTATAACGCATTAAATGTAAGCAAGAATTATTTATTCTACACGAAACGTATTTGTTGTAATAGTTGCGCAGAATATTTACCTGTAAACTAAAATACTGTGTGTGAACAATTTAGAATTTCTCTGGTCCAACGCGCAGTCAAACGTCAGAAAGTTTATTAAAAAAAGAAATAAGGTGTACCACTTTATCGACCAAATTTTATTAACATTAATCTGTAAGAGAAGCACAAAAATGTGGGCGAGTTATTAAAAATCTCGATGTGTAAAAATCCTTCAAGTTGCAACATTCAGTTCGAACGTCTCAAAATCCGTTAACAATAATCTCGCGAAAGTATATTGTTAGTTAAGACGAATTACTTGTCCCCGTGTCAAATAAAGCAATGATGAATATATATTTAAGTAAAACCCGGTTTTAAAATTTAAACCTCGAACTGTGTCACATAAATTAATAGTCCTTATCAAGCCGACGCGGAATTGATAAACGATTGGGAAATATTTCACGCTTAATATGGGTATAATCTTCGAGAATTGACAGAGATTTAACAAATGCGTCAGTTTTCCTCAAACCGAGATCGCCGATAATTTTCCATTTTGCAATAAACGTCCGTAACTTCTTGCTTAATAAAAATCGGACTCTTCGAAGCGATCTCGACATTCGAGTCTCGCGATTTCTCGAAGCGAAGTCTAAAATTCTGAAGAACCCACCACGCTCGCAAAATGTTTTTGAAAATGTTTATAATTGTCGCTTGCAGTGCCATTGTCACTGCAAAAAACCTCGAGCACAAAGAAACTGTTAATGTCGCACCGACGACGGAATCGAGCACCACTTCAAACCCGGTGAGTAAACCTATTTCTATTTCTTTTTTTTTCTCGTCGTTGCCAAATTTTTTTAAACAATCTGTACAGATGTAGCATTTAGGGAACAATATTTATAGCAGTTCCCAAATTTTCTAACGATTGTTTAACAGGTGCATAGCCGAGGAGTGGAGGAAAAGACCGCGACTGCGGTGAACGGAAGTACTTCGACTTTGACGTCAACTGAGAAACCGGAAGTGACGGAATCCTCGTCTATCCAGCCCACGAAGAGGTCCTTGAAGAATAATCCTGAAATCAACCTGCAGCCAGGATGCTGCGGATAAAGGATTTTCAATCTCAATTCCCTGAATTACGACGAAACCTGGACTGGAATACGACTCTAAATAAAAGGCTCCGTTTATTTCCTAAAATCAATATATAAATGGAATGAATAAACGCCGAGAATGAAGAATTATAATCCTGAGGGAATCATTTTTTGTACATTTCTCGGTTATAAATACAACACACCTCCCCTTGCAAGTCCAGAAGATCTCTTAAATTTTTTCCAACTTTTCACCCGAAGTAAATTTTGAAATCACATACATTTCATACGAGAATTTAAATTAGTGCGCAATGTTTGTCAATTCTCGAGCTAGATTAGAATTTTATGATCAGCTCGTAAAATTGAGACTTGGTCGCTAAATGCATCAGCCGAATTTTTCATAAATGTAAATTTTTTTTTTAATAGTGTACACTATGGGCCATAAAATGCGTAATCGTAATTAATCAAAACTCAGGGCTTTAAAGCTTCGATCGGGCTCAGTTAATCAGTAGAAACGGCTAAGTGCTCGAAGCCTGAAGAAGGAAGGCAAAAAAGACGAATTCAGGGAAAAGAATTCTCCAAAATGCCATTTGCTATCGTAAAACGTCGCGTCCATTTATTTTTTATATTGACTGCAATTTTAATTGAAGAAACTAATGCCAGAAGTATTGATAACCGGTCCAATGCGAGTGATAAGCCGTCTCTTTCCCAACCTGGATCTGGATCCCCACTTGAAAATGGCAATTTTCAGTTTTCCATGCCTCAGTGGTTTTGGCCATGGTTCACATTGTTCCAGAAACCAATGGTAAGTTAATTAAAAATTATAAATAATCTCCACATTATATTGGAACTCCTTATCATACACGTCGCACTTGTTACAGAAATGTTCCTACCTAAACGAAAGCGACAAAGTACGTCAATAATTATTTTACATAAATACCAGTTAATTTAAATTGCCGATTAAATTATTTCATAAAAGTTTCGTTGCCTTAGAGAGCTAGACATCAAAGTGAGCAGTCAGAATATGATAACTCAGCCTGGAGAGATGATCCAATGGGCAACAATGCCGAAGAGCTCCTCCCAAAAAATCCCGGAGTGAGTTTCGAGGAAACGTGGAAACTCGAAACGTCGGAATTTTCCGAAAATAGTACCCCCGGTACTAAGAAAAATTAAAAAGTCAATTCACTGTCGGTCCAACTATCTTTACTATATTTATACTCGGCGCTGGAAATTTTCCTAGAACTTTTTAAGGGTAAAAGGAAATAAAATCTTCCGAAGGATTAATTCCTCCGAAATGAATTCCCACGTTTAATAATATCTAGAAAAATGTCCAAAGATCGCAGGTTTCGATTTCACCTGGGAAATTCGTTGTTCGACTTGACTGTACCATCGATCAAACGTTCGATCGACGTAATCAGAGGTAATAAAAAAAATCGATACGCATTGGCAGTGTTCGGACGAAAGAAAGACCCGACTCTTTCGGCCCTAATTAATTGTCGAGATAAGGTCGATTGCTAAACATCACAATGATGTCCAGCGAGTGGTTTTTCATTTTTCTTCTGGTTTCCGGTATTTTACTTAAGTCAGTCACCCCCGACCTCACGGTGGAGGATCTCTTATCATTCGACGAGCCTCCAAAAGAGGATAAAAATGTATTCCGAGCACACAGGTACGTTTTAACGAACGAGGCTATCGATAAGAAAGATAAGATTAACAATTAAAATACGAGTGATCGTTGAAATTATTCCTAGTCGTTCTACTATTTTTCCCAACAAAAGGGTGAATCGCAATCGTGGAATGATTTCGTTGAGGAAGGTCAAGTACGAATCAGGAGGCAGTGATAACGGCGGATTCTGGAGCTGGTTCGGCAATGGCATAATTTCGGCATGCCAGGAAATAAAAGACAAGTTCGGAAAACTGTTCGACTATTAAAATGTTACATTCCTTTCCTCTTACTCTAATTAATGGTTGACAAATAAACGCACGTCCAGTCCCGGTATCGCTTTAGCAAAACGGCACTCCTGAGTCCGCGAGTCTTTACATGTACAGACACGACGTAAATGATGTCTTTAAGTACCAATCCTATATCGTGAGTGACTTCCACAAGTGGAAATTAAATCTAACGTTTTCGAGTCTACAAACACACCCGAAACACTCGCACATTACCGGAAGAAAAACTGTTTTCCATTTCCCCGCTGCACCCTACAGGGGAAAACGTTCGTATCTATATTTTCTACGTACAACCTTTACGTAACGCACACCCGAAATGCAGATATTCCATTGGTTGTTTAATGCAAAATGTGCATCCTGTTTATACAAAATATATGAACGATCTGTTAAGTGTACACTCGGTTTATAACAAAAATTATGCAAATGACGTGTCGTTTTCTTTCCTCTGAGAGCCTTCGCAGTTTGTCACGTACGAGGAAAGCTCATTTGTTGATATAAATACGCTCTGAAATTCGCGACAGAAATACTTTCTGCCTTAAGAAATCAGGGTATCACAGAACGTTTCGAAATTCCGTATAAAGAGGGTGCGCTTCTTGCGTGTTAGAAGAACAGTTTTACTGTGCTAATAACTTAATAAATGTATAATTTTAATTAGAGCTAGGATCGCAGGATCAATGGGAAGGCAGAGCGAATGAGTTCAAGCAAACAATCTCGAGATCGGAGATTATGCATTCAAGGAGCACCGCGAGGAAATTGTGCACCCTTTCAGGGTGCAGTAAATAATTTCCCGATTCCCCATTGATCGCAAGAGAGTCGTAACGGTCCGATAAAAATTAAATGCACGTCGTTAACTCTTGAGACGCGTGCCAACGACCTGCCAGGTCGAGAACTGCACCTTCTGCAAGTAGTCGATTTTCCTTCGGCCCCAGCGAAACCATAGAAAGCCAATAATTACGCAAATAATGCTCTCTATGTAGTACCCATCCAGATAGATATCGCAAACTCCTCCGTCTTTACTGACACACTCCTATAAATTATGGATTATTTGTAAATTAAAAATATCAGTTGAAGGTAATGATAAAACACTGTACTTGTGAATTGTGGTAAGAGAACGTACCTCTTGCCTCGCGGTTGTGCTGCAGTCATTCGTTGCATCGACGTTGCATCTTTTAAATGTTAAGGCATCGACGAACCAAAGTGCAGCTGTCGCTGGCCAGTTGGCACCAAGATTCGACAAAGTGTTTAAAAAAGTCATGTACGTACCCCCGATTGCCGGATCACTGATCTTGGCAAAGAAAGCCATCGTTGCTACGAACATGCTGCTTAAACAAATCTGAAAGAATTTGTTTTGATTGATAGGTTAACTTGATTACTGCTATGCAAGCACCGTGCTGAAAAAATAAGTTACCTGGTGAGTCATGTAGATAATTGTTAAAATTATAAAGTAGAATACAGGAATTTCTCCTTTTACTATTATCGATGGTGTGATCCACACCAGGAATGCTGCGAGTAGTCCAAAAGCCAACCTGGCGAGAAAAGCGACATTGAGTTTGTGATTAACCACGTGTGGAATTATTAAAACTACCTGTAGGGTATGGCTTTCAAGTAGATGTCCATTGGTCTTAGACCGGTAGTGTATTTCGAAATGAAAAGTGGTAAAACTATTTGCAATGGTATCATGGGCACCGCCATTAATGCAAACTTTTCCTTCGGTATTCCAGCATCAATCATTTTTAAACCTGTCACTGCATCACATGCAGAAAATCCAACCTAAAGAATTATTTAACATCAAGTACAACCCTGTCGTGCATTTGAAGTCAATAGTTCACACATTGTCGTATCAAACCTTGGCAGTTAAGAATACCAGGATGGCGATTTTTATATTCGGTAATTTAATTATATCCCATAAAACTTTGTACGCATGTTTAACGCCATTATCCAGGTCTCGATATTCGTCCTTTTTCTTAATCTTTTCGCTTTTCAATATCGCCACCAGGGTTGTTGTAATAATAAATATCCACCCCCAGAAGTGCAAAAACCCTGAAAGCAATTTTTCATCAATATTTTGCAATAGAATAAATTAAAAGGCCAGTGAATTTTCTAATACCTGGCAATGTGATAATTCCCTTTGCCGAGGGTTCCGATCTTAAATAGGCATTACAAAATTCAGGCGACTCTAAAGCCATAAAGAAGACGTATCCAATAAAGTATCCTGCAGTCTGACCCACGCTGTTGCACGTGGATGCATAACCCACGTTGCATCTGATTGGAGAACAACTCGTTATTAAAATCCTTTTAACGTAAGGATTTCAACTAACTCTCAATTACCTTCTGAGCATTGTGAGGGACCAGCCATCAACGATAATATCCTGGGTAGCGGCAAGAACGTTTAAGGCAAGAAATAACATAGTGAATAATCCTATGTTAGGTTTCTCGTGGTCGTCCCCCAACCAATACTCGACGTGCCCTGATAGAAAGAGCATAAACGTACCCATAAGGTACTGGACAGGAATTAGCCATGTTTTCCGTCGTCCAAATCTCTGAGAGTACAACGAATCCACTATCGGTGCCCACAGAAGCTTCAATGAGAATGGCCAGTATACGAAGCTAAATTCTGCCTGAATAAGGAAAGAGTCAGTTTACCGAGGTAATCGAATTTCAACCACCTACTCCTTCCTCCGTACCTGTTGCCGATAAGAGATACCTCGATTCTGGAGTATCATCGTTATAGACCCACATAATCCTAAAGGTATGCCTTGTAAGAAGTACAGGAAGAGGAGAAGAGCTATATTTTTTTCGTCTCCTTGGATATTAGGTAGTTCATTGCCATTGTTTGCATCCGTTCTCCCTTCCTCAATGGCATTCTCCTTTTCCGTTTTCCGCTTCATATTTAACGTATTCTAATCGAAACAGAAATTAAGTACGATAACCAACGCATCTTTCTCTTACCGTATGAACATTCATCGATATAGAACCTATAATCCAAAAATTACTGATGCTTTTCCCAAGAACGATTAAATCGTGGATCAGGTGCCACGCGTCATGAGACATATCGAGGCACGTTTAAAACCTGTTAAAAGTAAAAATACACTGAATAAAAACCTTCGCTTTCCGGAACGTATTCAAGGTGTCTTTTATTCCAGACTCTCCAGGCTCCGCATTAAATGTTCATTTCCCATTATCCGTACATTACAGCTCGAATGCCAAAAAATTCCACCTGCTCCAAACACCACGTTGACACCACGAAGCACGACCAGCTAGCGTGACATCAGGTAACACTCGAGCATGCCAGAGGTTAAGTTAGGTTACCCGCCCAGATTTCGTAAGTGACCAAGTCCCAAAACCCCTACCATTTATCAATAACGATCCACACCTATCACCAACTAATCATCCACCGTCATAAATATCAAGAGCATGGTATCAAAGAAAGCAATAACAAAAAGTATCATCGAAGTCCAAAACTCCCGCTTCCGTGGCGTCACTTTTATCAGCCAATCCAAACGGCCATTTCTGCCGGAACGATCGCGGTTCGTCCACGAACCTTGTGCGCGGCGTGCGAGGGTCGTGCGCCGTGTCGCTCCCACCCGTCCTCGAAGGAAGCCTAGACGTGGACCAATCAGGAGCCGCCTCGCTTCGGAGCGCCAATCAGCGAGCGCGCATTCCCCTGGAGCCAGCCGAAAGCGGGCCAATCACGTGGCGCGCACGAGGCGCGGGCTCCCTCCTCCGGCCTCGTCCCGGGGCGGCCGTGACGTCATCGGCGCGTGCGCCCAGCGGAGCGACGGCACTGCAGAAGCGGGCGAGCTCGCCGAGCGGTATCGATTTTACGATCGTGTGTCGTGTCCGGCGGTTACGTGCGTACGCGTAGACCGTGCGTCAATCGAGGGACGGGTTTTTTTTTCTAGTGGGCCGCCGCGAGCACCGTGCCGTGCACGGCCGCAGGTCCGTGAATGGGATTACGTGTCGCCAGCAAGAGGCCCCGCTGACCGCTGACACCAGTCGCTGAAACCGCTGCCGCCGTCGCTCCTTCACCATGACCAAGGATAGATTAGCAGCCCTCGTCGCGGTGAGAACGCCTTCTTCGGCCCCGCAACCCTATCGACGCCCCGAGTCCCCACGGGAGGCGAAATCGAGGCACGGAAGGCCCTCGGTGGCCGCCCTCCGGCCGCTCCTAACCTACACGCTGGCCCTGGACTGGCCCGGAATCTGGCCGGGACTCGCGCGAGCGTTGCCCGGCATTAGCATAATCGACCACACGAATTAGTCATTTGGACTCGTTTCGAGCGACGTACCGACCTTCCAATTATGCTACCGTGTGCCAGTGGTTGTTTCTGGCTGTCGGAGGCCCTGGGCCCGCAGCCTGACCTTCCGACGTACAGACACACCGTTGCCTCATAGTATAATTACCCAGTTACTTATCATTATTTTCACGTACCATCTCGCTGCGCACTCGACATTGTATACTCCGTGTCGCCTCGGTGGCTGTAAAGTAACCGTGATCGATCACACCTAGTATGGTCTCAATTGTTTCCACCGTCAATTTCCATCGAACCGTCAGTGTCAAGGCAACGGTTAACTCCTCTCATCGGAGGCTCCGGCTCTTAACCCGATGACCTAATGCCACGACGAGCCTATTGCAGTGCTCCGGTGTAATCGATTACGTGATTAAATCCCTGCCTCGATGGGTTGCTCTCGCATGAATCTCCTTCATGGGAATGTTATTATCGCTTGTCTTCATCTTTTTCTTTCTTTTCCTTAGAAACGACGAGGAGTGCTCTGAAAGGAAGCTTTGTTCCCTGTTGACCCAGGCTGATCTCCGACCCGTGACCCCTGGCAATTTTCTCTCAGCGTAACGCGAGTTAACCACCCTCCGAGTCCCTCTTCAATTATTACCGCGACCCTGCTCGTCAGTCAAATGCGGTAATTTTTTAGAGCGTGACAGGTGTCGAGCCTGGCGTCATCGGCGCATTCGACTCTTCTCGTCACGTCGGATGTTCGCCGTCTCCCTTCCACTAGCGGCCGGCCGATCGCTCCCTCTCGCTCGCTCCTCGCTCACGCTCGACGCCTCTGCGCTCCTCGAGTCGAGATCTTCGGGCCGCACCCCGAGACCCGGCTTTCATTCACACGAGATTAGGGAAAAATGCTTCCCCATTTTCCCTCGGCCCCGAAATACATTTCCTCCCCTTGGAATTTTATCCAAGAAGGAAAGGGACCTCCTTTTGAGGCGTGGAAAAAAAATATATGAACGACATTTATTTTTTTTTCATGACGTCCATTTTCATCGCGCCGATTTTTGCGGAAAAATTCGAACCCGGCGTTAAATCGCCTCTTCATGAGTATCCCTTATTTACTCCTCTTGGACTTTTTTTTTTCTCGCGTTTGGGTTCAGATTGAACGCTGACATCTTCACACTTCGACAGGTGTTTCTGGGCGTCATCGACGTTCTCGGAGCGTGACTCCACGTTGAAATGAATCCTCTATCTCGGCCTTGTATCTCCTCAATCTGGACTGATAGCGGGAATTAAAACACTGGGGAAATGTAGATCTGATTTTCGACTTCTTGCGCCAGTACGAGTGATAAGGGGCACTGATAAGAGAGGAAAAATGATTCCTCTCGAGTCGTCGAGTCAGCCGACGAGTCCTTGGACCTACATTTCTGTAGCGAAGAATTAACGGCGCGGAAGGTCGTTAATTACGGCAGGTTAACGAGGGGAATTTCGATAATTCGGGAATTAAACCTCACCGCGCGTTAATTGTTATTTACGCAGAAAATTAAAAAATAAATCCTCGCCATCGTCCTCGCAGGGATTCTCCCCGTTAGCGAAAATTCCTCGGTCGTTATCGATTAACGACATTAATTTCCCGGAATAATCCTTGACTTGACGTTTACATAACGCAACGTTAATCCTTCGCCAGGATATCTCTCGCATTTTATTTTCCTATTTCCTGCTCCGTCCATTCTCGCCTACGGATTTATTTTTGCATTTTTCACTCGCCATTTGATAATTGCAAACGCGTTAAATAATAAGATTAACAGAGACGAGACGAGTGATAATCGCCTTGGGATATTCGGGTAGGCCAGGGATACCTTGCCCTAGGTCGCGGATAAGGAATAATTTTATGTAAATCTTTTTCTTTTACAATTTCCACGCTTTCTTTTCATTACTCGGTAATTGAGACCACGCGAAACAATCGCTGGGTCGGCCGGAAGGGTAGGTCAAGGATTCGTTGCCCTAGGTCGCGGAGACGCGTCGAGGTGAAGGTACTGAAAGATGGCACTCGATAGTCTTTTTTTCTTCTTATTGTTTTACCCTTTAACAATTTTCCCTCCCCTACCCTCGCCCGGTGTCCCTCTCTATCGATTACGTGCACAGCCGGAAGCGGGAAACGGCGAGCATCGCGTACCCGAAATAGAGGATTCCCATGAATTTAACATCGCGTCCGCGTGGATCCGTCCATCGGGACAACCTCGCGAGAAAATCCCCGGATCCCGATTTACACTCTCTAGGTTTTATTTCACCCCCGCGCGGAAATAATTCACGGACAATCGAGGTGGCCCGTAAACCGCGGCTCGTAAAGAGATGTAATCCCGGGGTATAAAGCCCGCGTTAATTCGTAGGGAAAAAGAGAGAAAGAGAGAGGCAAAAGCCTTTCAGAGTTTTTACATTTTTTTATCTTTAATCCAATCATGGTGGAACGATGGTGATTGTGGTTTTTTCTCTTTGTTCGCAGGCCCAGTCGGACGATGACGACGTGGCGGACGAGGTGGCCGTTCCCGTGGGAGGGACCGATGATTTCATGACGGAGTTCTTTGCGGAGGTGAGTTCGTCTTTTCCTCATTAAAAAAAATTTTTTTTCCCCTTTCCTCCTCTCGGCTATTTTTATACCGGCCATTTTTAGCACGCGGTGATAAGGATTATTCCTTATTTGTAGGGAAATGTCAAATCGCGGCGATATCGCGGGCGAGGATGCGCGTTGACCAGATTGCGTGCATCCGGCCACGCGAGTGGCAAAGTGGTATCTCCGTCTCGCTCGCTCTAGCGGGTCGGCCGCGCGTGGCGTCTCTCTCCCACTCATTGAGAGGTGTCGATGATCGGCCGAGCCGGGCATTTAAATTTTCTCTCCATAAGTGTCTGCGTCTCTTTCGCTCCCGTGTGACGGCCGTGCACGGCGTCTCTCTCCCACTCATTGAAAGGCGTCGATGATCGTCGGACATTTAAATCCCTCGAAGGGTTCGGCCGGATACGGAACGGCTGTGAGAAAAAGAGAGGGAGGAGAAGGAAAAAGGGAGGATGGGTAATGGGAAGGCGAAAGTAGGGAAAAGAGGGAAGAGTCCGTTCCCATCGAGCGGGAGGCGTCCCGGCGGCTGCGCCCCTCGGGTTTTCGCACCGGGACCTATCGATATATCGACGCTGCGGTTCGATATACGAGTGTGCGTGTGTCTACGTGTACGTGGACGCGTATATCTCGAGTCTCGGCGGGTCAAGAGTTCATGTCTGAATGGGATCTGTGCTCCCTGGAGGAAGACACCCGGGATGCGTTATCGGAAAACCGCGCATCCGAGGTGCCTTCTATCCTTCAGGAGGAGTCGTCCTGCGGGACTCGTGCATCCTGGGAGAGCGGGACGTTCTCTGGAATGGATCCGATGGGTGGTATCGATCCAACCCTGCATCCCCCAACTTCCCCCGGGATAAGGACTGCACCTGAGAGCCTCGTCGTCCCAGACAGGATGCATCCGCAGGACTGGCGCATCCTCCAGGATACTCCTGCATATTTTAGCGGTCTCCAAAAATGGATCTCCCGTATAGATGCGACCCTGCATTTCCCATCTTCCCTCGGGATAAGAACCTCGAGTCATCGATACGCGGTGACAGCCTCGATGCACGCGTATATCGAGGTTTGCCCCAGCGGGGGCGAGTCACCCCCGCGGTCGGGCGTGAATCGCGAGAAAAATGTGGGAAAAGGAGACGAGGGAAGGAATACCGGGAAGAGGGAAACGAGGACGAGGATATTCGATTCGATCGGGCTTTCGGGATGATAAAGGGCGGTCCGGGACGGCAGGGGGTGAATTTCGACCCCCCAAGGCTCCATTGTGCCGGCGGTGTTGTAAGGGTAAGCCGGTTTCCGCTTTTCCTCCCCTTTCTCTCACTCTTTCAGCCGGTCGCCCCACCTGGCCCGATGCTCGCGGGGATGGAGGGGGGCGGCGCCGATTCCGCAAAATCAAAAAGGATTTGGGTTAATGCGGCTCGCGCGCGACCGCCATTGTGTCCAGGGCCGCGCTCCTCCCCTCGTTAACCCGGTCACGAGTCGAAAGAGAAGCGGAAAGTCACCATGCGGAATTTCTCGCCTCCGTTTCACCTAGGGGTGGATTTGCCGATCGGACGATCGCCCACCCCCCGGCCGCATTCCACCTTGCATTTCGGCGTTTCTCTTCGCCCTGGGACCAGATCGCGAAAAACGCTTCCTGGGAATGTTGTAGAGAGGTTCGTTCTCTACAATTTTTCTAGGAGTCGATTTTTTTGGAGGTGCACCGGTTAGCCGGAAAATCGGATTCATTGGGGTCTGCCAGGCCTTCCTTCGTCGCCCCTTTTTCTCAGCGTTTAGCCGAGAATTGTCTCCCTCTTTCAGGGGATGGGTATCGATCCCGGGGGCCAAAAGTAGCGACCCCGTGTCCTGACAAATCACTTTAACTTTTCCGACGAGGTAACCTCGCCGCTGCTCGTCTGGGTGTCCCCTGGTGGGCGGTGGGTGGTGGGTGGTGGGTGGCGGCCGGCCCCGCCGCGAACTTGTCGCCGGCCGTAATTACACAACTTCAATCCCGGTTCTCCAGGTGCACATTGTTCCCGACTTTTTGATCCCCCGGCCTCGAAGTTAACACCCCCTCTCCCGCCCGGCCGACACCCAGAACGGGAAACGAGGGAGACTAAAAGAGGAAAGAAGGAAAAAAGAAAGAAGAAAAACCGGCAAAAGGGATCTCCATTACCCTGACTCCTCGGGCCGACCCCGAGCGCCGTATCTCGGGAACTTTGAGGATGAATCTCCGTGATAAGAGCCCCGGAAATGCAAATTACCTTCCGAATGGTTTCCCCGCCGGATTTTCTCGCGATCATCTACCCGGGATATTTTCCAGGCACCCGGGGCCACTTGACGGGTAAATTATCGGGGAATTATTAAAATTCATCCCCTCCCGGAGGGTGGTAGGGGAAAGGGATGATAATTTTCAGAAAATTGCCTTTTTCGGACCGAACTCTTAGGTTGATTTTTTTCATTCCTTTCTCCTGCTCTCTTTGCCTTCGTCCCTCATTTATCTTCCTTGGAATGATGATTCGGGGGTCCTCGCTAATGGGAACCCCTCTCGCGGATTTAACGCCCCGTTATCGGGCCCGATATAACGGGCTGACTCGTTCCACTTGCGCTCCGCCGCGTTAACTTTGTTACGCCGTCCGACCGTACCTCCCGCTGTACCACTGAATCTTGCCCTAATGGAAAATCGACCCCCCGGGCCCCGTAATTTCGCCGGGAAATGCTCCCGGGAAATTCATAACGAATTAACGGCCTCCCGCGGGGGGAATTCCCGAGGTTTTCACCTCACCCCGGTAAGGGAGAAAGAGAAATAAAAGACTAAAGGAGAAAACGCCACCCTCGATTCGGTGTGCCTCGAGGTCGGCTCTCTTTTCTCTCCCGGGTTTCCTCGGGTTTTCCTCGGCCCTCCGATCGCGGGAAATTAACGTTAAATTCACCCCCTTGACTCGCGGAATTATTTGACCGGGAACGGGGCACGCGGAAGTGCCGCGCTCGTTAGCTTCGACCCCGGAGTTAGTAATTTAGTAATTTCGACGGCGAACCGCGAGCGAATGGCAATCGGGGTCTCTCGGCTTTCCCCCCCGGGGTGGGCGGTCCTCGGAAAAGCGAGGAATAAAAAGAAAAAAAAAATATCCTCCCGCCGGAGAAATAAAGGCATTAAAATGGAAATAACAAGGGGGAAAAAAAAGAACATGGCGATTTCAGAGTTTTCTTTCATTATCGGGACCGGGAATTTCCGGCCACTCGTGATAAGAATCTCGCGGCCCGATTGGGATGCAAAGTGCTCCTCGCTAACCCTGGGACTGTTTTCTCTCTCAACAGGTGGAGGAGATTCGGGAAATGATAGACAAGATCCAGACTAACGTGGAGGAGGTGAAGAAGAAGCACAGCGCGATCCTCTCGGCGCCGCAGACAGATGAAAGTGAGTAAAACGTCCATTGTACTAGGCACTAGTGAAGATATCTCCTATTGTTTTTTTTTTTCTCTCTCTCCTTTCCCACGACCTAATCGATAAATTCCACGATCGACAATTGCGAGTCGGTCGACTCGATTATCGAGGTGACCCCAGCTTGCGAGGGAGCCAGGAATTTTCTCGAGGGAGCAGGTGCAGTCGACCAGGAAATTCGGTAGCCCCCCGCGCCAAGTATAAGCTTATCGAATGATAACACGAATTCCCATCTCCGATAACATCTGCGAGCTAGTGGCATCGATTCGGCGCAGAACTCACGGCGGGGATGACGATGTCGCTGCCGGCCGTCGGGGGAGAAAAACATGAATAGGGAGGAAAAAGCGAAAAATGGGAGAAATCATCCCCACTGATAAGAGAGAGCGAACGTTCAGGAGGGACGATAGCGAGGAGGCCTGGGGGTGTCCCCGTTAACGGAGCCGTCAGATCCACCCGATTAACGCTGGGGGTTGGGGAGAATTATCGGGGGTGGAGGGGGCGGTCCTTGCAGTCGTAAACGTCAGGACCACGCGGTCGACGGTCAGGGTCCCGCGGGGGGGCGCGGGGGGCGGCCCAGGGGACATTCAATGGACCCTTCGAGAGGAGAGAAGGAAAGCTACGAGAGAATCGTTCGAGTCTGAAAGGGGCCGAAGAGCTGGGAAAAGGGCGGAAGGACCTAACGGGGGTGGGCGGCGAATCTAGTCGGGGGGTTGAAGGGGGCTGGGGTAATCGTCCTTGCCCCGGTTGCCATTGTGGCAGCCGCGTCGGGGTTGGTCTCTCTCCTGCCGGTTACACCCGGGGTTTAACTCCCGGGGGTGGGGAAAGAGACCTCTGGAGCTTGAAGTGAATTTTCGGCAGCGTCTTCAAGAGGATCCGGGGAATCCCCTAGAATCCTCGACATCCTCGGAAAAAATGTCAGCTTTGAGATTTTCGGCTACTGGAATTTTTTTTTCTTTTCTTTTAAGCTGGGACTCGGATGCGGATGTTCCTGAGATTGTCAGGGGAGCTTGCCACAGGCGAGGGGGGTGTTTCCCGATTTTGTGGGGGATTTTGCAGAGGGGGTGGTACCGGGGAAAATCACGTTTCTCCTCGGGGGGACGGTGGGCGCCGGCACTCTCGACCATCTCCAGGAAGAAGGGCTGCATCGATTTTAGAGGCTAAGGCTGCAGGAGAAGCGGTTCCGGAAGAGCGATGGAAGGCCGGGACGCCGGGTCCTGGGGGAGGGCTGGAAATTCTTTGGGGCACCGTCCTTCGGCGGGGGGGTGGATTTTTTTGGGGCCCGGAAGTGGACTCGTGAGGGGAGTGCGGGGAGAGTCGGCGAGCGAGGGGTGTCGCACGCAGAGGGCGGTGGGTGGCCCGGGGGGTGGGCCTCGGAGTTAGCCGGAACGGGGTGTGGGCCTTCCTGCCGAGGGGGATCGATAGCGGGAATCCAACGGGCAACCGGTCGAGTTGGCCAGCTGGTCCCCGATTGACCCCTTCGGGAACCCTCCCTGATCGATCGGCCCATCGATCGGACGAGGCTCCTCATGGTGGAGGAGACCGAACGATTCTCTTGGAGAATTTTCTAGCGGAGAACCTGGAGGACCTGAAACCTCCCATGGGAGAATTTCCATAAGAATTTCCGTGGGAACTTCCAAACGGAGAACTTTGTACCGGAGAACCTCCCACTGGGTGAACACCCAGTCGAAGGAGTTAAGACGAGCCCCATAAAGGACTCCGTTACCTCCCTCGGGACTATGCCGCAGCGGCCGGATTCGCACTCAGGGAATCCTCCTCTCTCTCTCTATCGCGGACGTTCCGCGCCAAGATGGCGCGGCTCGGCCGCGTGGCGATCGATGTTTTTCCGCTAAGCGACCCGCCCCACGACGCTAAGGGCGGATTTAACCCCCAAGAAGTGGATTGGCTCGGGTAAATGTCGGCTTACGAGACCCCGGGGGGGATTTACCTGTCCCGCTTTTGCGTTTCCGGCTGGCCTCCGATCTCGAAATCCTCCCCGGCGTCGCGCCGCTCAAAATGTCATTTCGGAACCCTCGAAAGGAAAACCGATAAAACCCACCCCCTGCCTCCCCGGGTTTAATTGGATTGATTCGCCCGCTTTGTTTGTCCGCTCGTTAACGTCTCCCTTCCCTCCTGGAAGGTCCTTTCCGGGACGCCCGAGATCGCCCGAAATCCCGCAGGGGTGGGAATGGGACGACCTCTGGGAAAGGGGGTGCGTTTCCACCCTCGGGCCGATTTCCTCCCCCGGGAGTGCGCCTTTCGGCGAGATTTTTTCCCGCCTCGGGACGCCCGACTACGCGTACACATTTATTCCCATAAAAAGGGATGAAGGGACGAAACCCGAAAAACCACCCCATTTCCCCCCCTCTTCGTCTTCTGATTAATCGGGCCTCGCAGCCTCCCGAAGGAGCCTAACGAGAATCTTCCCGTTATCGCCCTTAACCACCCTTATCGTTCCTCCACCTTTCATCGTATTTCTTCCCGCCTTATTGAGGGCATAAAAAAAATCGCCACAAGCCGGATCCTCTTTCGCGATCGACTCTTATTTCTTTTTTTTCTACCTCTTTTTCCACTCTTTCCACCCTCTGAAACATGAGAGAGAGGAAGAGATATCCTGGGAAACGGATCCTGGTAAGCTGCGAGAGAAGAGTTCGAGAGAGGGGCGGCTCGGAGGGGGAGAAAGAGGGAGTATCGATTGCAGCTCCGTTCCCCCGGCTCGCTTATCAGGAAAATCCAGGAAAATTCAGGGGACGTTGTAAAAGCGCGATAAACCGAGTCGTAAAGGCGGGACGAGTGTATCCCTCGATTCCTCGAGCAGGAGGGTTTCGGGGGAGGAGGGGGATGGGAAATCATATTAATAACGGGAAGGTTTCCTCCGGTTAACGCTCGAGGGGGAAATCCTCCCTGGGAAATGTCGGGACGATATAAGGGATCCTTCTTGGGGATGGAAGGGGGTGTTCAATTTCCCCCCTGCCTAGGGGACGGGGTGCCGGGGAATTAAAGCCCCGTTTCCGGGATTCTGATTTTCCCCTTCTCCTGGTTTGCCGAGGTTTTCCGAAGTCGGAGGAGGGAATTTTTCCACGGGAAAATTCTAGAAGAATTTTCCAGGGAGGACGCGATGACGCCTGTCGTTATCAGCTCGGGATTCGGGGGCTCCTTTTCTGTTTCCCCTTTTTTCCCTCTTTTTCGAGGTCTTCGCCAATCCCGGGGTTATTAATATCTCCTTAGGGAGACTATCCCAGGATTTTCCTCGGAGTAAATTCGGCGATGGGAGGGCGAAATCGAGGCGGAGCGGATTTATCCCGCAGGATCGCGGGAGGAAATAGGACGGGATGTTGATTAATACCGCGGTCGGGGCTTGGGGGAAATCGTGGGGAAATTTCTTCCCGGGGGATGCATGAGTCTCGGGATAACGGGAGCGCTCTCTCGCTCTTCCTTCCTCGTTTCCTTTTTTCTTTGACCTCCTCCTTTTTCCGTTCCCTTCCTTCCCCTTGCGAGGGAATATCCGGGAGTCGTCCAATTTTCGCGCTCTCAAGTGCTCTCCCATAGGAGAGGAGAAAGAGGGCAAGCATTGACCCTTCTCCCCCTGCCCGCTTTTCCGGGCTTTTCGCGAACGGAAATTTTCCAAACAATTACGGGCCTCTGTAAGGGTCCTACAGGGCTCCCTGAACAAAAGGGAAATTCCCCATTTTCCGGGAAAGGGCGCCTCGTGAATCCACGATTAGAAATTAAATCGGAGCGTTTTCGGAGAAGGGTGTAAGTCGAGGGGCGAGGGAGTCCACCCGGAAACCGGCCAGGTGCTTCCGGGAAGGCGAAGTCCCCTTTCTCCCTATCAACCCTCGGAAATCTCGAAGGAATTGGCCCGCGACACGCGAGGGAGCTGCACTTATGCCCGACCTGGGGCTATTCGGGCTCGGATTTACGGGGAAATGGGAGGGACGTCACGGAAGTCGTTCGCTACACCATGGAGGGAAGGATTCCGGCTCGGGGATATAAGAGAAAATAGGATCCTGGGACCTGTAACATCCCTTTGTCGCTTGGACCCGGCTGACCCTCGCGGCGACCGGGCTGCAAATGCCACCTCTGACGTCCGCCTGGACCTTATATACCCTGACTACCCCCTCCACCCGGCCGCCGCCCACGTGGTCGCGCGCCACGTGGCCAGCTGTCAAACCGTCTCTATCCTAAAACGGTTCATCAAACATCATTTTAATTTTTTATTTTTTCTTAAGAGATTTTGTCGGCGTGATTTTTCAGACCTTATCGGACGCGTTATTGCGCGCCCTCCTAACTTCAAAGTCGAATCTCCGTGGTCTCGCTCGGTTTTAACGCTGAGTCGTTCCGTTTAACGCCGCTCGTTTCCGCGTTCTTCCGCCCTGGCCGCTGCCAAAAGCCATTTGCTTTGAGCCGGAGGAAGAGGAGGGAGGAAACCGAGCTCCGAGCTCGTTTTCCCAGGCGAGACATTTTCTCGAGTTTCTACGAGTCGGGGCCAGCTCGACGAATGGAGATTTCTGGTCCACCTTCCGGGGTAGGCGGGGTCTTTGAAGTCGTGGAGAAACACGGGAAAGGGGACATGCAAAGCCGTGGTACCCCTTTGGAGGCAACCTTTGTCGTGGCGGGCAATCTAAACAGCCGCTAGTTCGGCAAACGAGCTAACCCACGCGCCATCGATCAGCTGACTGCACCCCTCGACACATCCCTCGACACGGGACCACCCCTTGTGTGTTTTTCCTTCCCCGACCCTGTCTCCGGTGAATTAAACAAGCGGCGTGATACGCGCCACCCGAATTTCCAGATTTTGCGGAAGGATTTTTATTTTCCAACCCTAAATTTTCCTGCGATTTATTTTTTGCCACCTTTTGTGCGGCGCATGTCCAACCGAGGGTCGAAATTCACCGGCTAGAGTGACCAGACGAGCTTTTCAGAGAATTTCCTCGGAGCTCTCGGGAATAACCGCCCCCGCGAGCCGACATTTCCGCCCACGCGGCGATTTCCGCCCACAGGGGCGCCTTTCCCCCCGGGCGGCTCCGAGACGTCCGCAGCCACCCCCGCTTGGGCTTGCGGGAGCTTAAACGTTATTAACCCGGATATTGCCCCCGGTGGTCCTCAAATTGACCGCCCGACAATGGACACGCACTCGTTCGAGTTCCCCCTGCACCCCCCGCACCCCCTGGCTCGTCCCCCACCCGGAGGGGGCAATTCCCGTCCGCAATTTCTCGCCCCTACGTGCAAGGAATCCTTGAGAGGAGGAATTCTGCCGAGCTCCTCGTCGATCTAATTAAAAAAAAAAATAATAATTCGATAAAGCAAAGAGAGGGCAGAAAATGAATAATGAGGTGGAAAAGCTTCGGGAAATTGTAAAGAGGAAGTGGGGAAAATGGGGATATCTTGAAGCGTTTCTCGGTGGGGGGTGCCTTTTCGAAAAATTGTCCAACTGTTTAGTTGATCCTCGAGGCGGGGGTGAAATGGCATTTGACGCCTCGAAACGGCGCTTCCATTACGTTTATTATTTTATCCACGATTTTATTGCCGTCCGCGTAAACGCAGCGGTGGCGACGCGGGGGAATTGATCGCAGTTAAAACGAGATACCGGCAGTCGGGACGGTAGACACATATTGTATCGGAAAACTGTCGGACGAGAGCGGAGCGTGGGAAAATTAGCGAGGAAAAACATATCGCGTGACCGGTGGACGGGGGTTGACGTGGAAAAACTCTCCTTGGCGTATCCGAGAGGACACTTCGAACGGAGGAAAATAATTCTTTCGCGGTGGTAGAAACGGGATCCTTCGGTCGAACATTTTTCTACCGGTTTCCTTGCCTCCTGGTCCGTGTCCGTGAATTTTTCCGGATTTTTTGGAGTACGGTTAAGGGTTCCAAATTAATCGCGAAACGGGCGCGGTGGTTGGTGCCTCGTCTGACCGAACACCACCTTGTACTACTGGAGAACGCTTTGGCAGTAGATTATAATTTTTTAAAGAACAAGCACGACCCTTGGGTTGAACTCTCCCCTCCCGGCTTCCCCACCCCCTCGGCCGTGTCTACGATTTTTTCCAGGTTTTATCCCCGAGGGTTAATAATTTTTAATTAATTATCAACGCAGAGGTCCAAGAAGTGGCTCAACGACTCGAAGACTTTCGGAGAACAAAGGGGGAGCCGGTCACTCCCCGGGGGTGAGATCAAGCTACAGGGGTGAAACGGGGATGTAGGTTGCACTCGTATATCGGGGGTGTATCGAGAAGGAGCCGTCGGGTGGGCGGGGGCGCAGGGGGGGCACGAGAGGCCTGTAGAAGTAGAAAAGGAGGGGCTGAGGGGAGTTGCCACACTGGAGGACTCTCGAGAGCATTCTAGGAGAGAAAAGGAAAAAGATGCGACGGTCAGCCAAAATGGAGATGGGACGAAAGCCACCCTTCTGGTGAGGTGGCCCTTCTCTTCCCCGACCCCCGCGGGGGGAGGAGGACTCTTCGGGTTCGTCTCCTTCCCCGATATTCTATATGTGCTCGAAAAGTGGAATTCTCGTGGATTACCCGACGGGGCAATTTGCTCCCGAGTGGTTAAAAAAATGGAGATCCCCTCTTCTCAATGGATGCGATTATTCCTGAATTGTTACCTAATTTATTAACGGTTAATTAATTTCCTCCTGTCCCTGGATTTTTTCTTCATTCGGGAAATTAGTCGGAAATTCGAGGCGACTCGGTAAGGGGTTGCCTGGTAACGGGGGTTACCGTGCACGGAAATTGCAGAAGTTCGGGGCAAAAGAGGCGAATGAAAGGGTGGCGAGGGTAAATGTAGAGCGAAAATCGAACGATTCGTTAAAAATGGAGGGGAGAGTTTGCCGAACTCTTTGAGCCCGGGGTCGCGGGGTTACCTGGCTGCGACCTCGGGGGTGCGTTACCGGCGAGAATGGCTGGAATTGCGAAAGTTGGGGGGAGGGGCGAGGAGGAAAGATAAATGAAAAGGGGGCTCCATTATTCCCGGAGTAGTCGGCCAGGCTTTCTGCGCTTTCACGAGGGAAACGCGCCCTGTATGTGCGTTTCGGCCCGAGGCGAGATCAGGAGGTCGTAGAGGAGATCCTTGTCTCGGCCAATGGAAGACCCGCCAGCTAAAAAGCAAAAAAGAAGAGCGGAAGGGGCGCCACGGTTTACTTTCAGGTTCTAACGACTTCCTGTTGCTCCCCCGCCGCCGCCTCCTTGGCCATTTCCCCTATTTTCCGGATTTTCGCATCCCTTATTTAATATCGACTTATTTCCTTTGCAGAGGTCAAACTGGAACTCGAGGAGCTGATGGCCGACATCAAGAAAACTGCTAACAAAGTCCGGGCCAAGTTAAAGGGTTCGTTGGAATTATTTTCTTTCCGCTCTTTATCCTATTATATATATTCCTTCGATGTTCCTTTTTCTCCGCAGTGATAGAGCAGAACATCGAGACGGAAGAACACACGAACAAGTCCTCGGCGGACTTGAGGATACGCAAGACTCAGCACTCCACCTTGTCGAGGAAATTCGTCGAGGTCATGACCGAGTACAATCGCACGCAAACTGATTACAGGGAGCGGTGTAAGGGGAGGATACAACGACAGCTCGAGATCAGTGTGTTTCCTTGTATTTCCATTTTTATCGGGAAATTAGACCATCGTATGGTAAATGGGGCTGCTTTATATTTTTTTTTTATGCTACCAATTATTTTGTAATACGCGTTGCAGTGGGGTTCGCTTATGCAAAATGACGTAAGGACGCGTCTTAATTTTTATGCGATTCTCGTTTACAGCGGGTAGAACGACGACCAATGAGGAGCTCGAGAATATGCTCGAACAGGGAAATCCGGCCGTCTTCACGCAGGGGGTAGGTTGTTCCCCCTTTAATATAAAATTATAATTAATAATAAAAAAAATAGATCGGGTAGTTTTCCACGATTTATTTCACCATAAAGGTCGGAAAGTTCGGCGCCAGCTGGAAATCAGATTATATCGAGTGTCTGGGTAATCTGATTTTTAAGCGTGTTCGTGATAATCTTCAGGGTCGTTTCGATCGTTTCTGAGATGTCGCATTCCTTTTTCGCCTTCGTCTTGGCTGATCGGAGGGTTTCTCCATTTGCAGATCATCATGGAAACGCAACAAGCAAAACAGACCCTGGCGGACATCGAGGCTCGCCACGCCGACATCATCAAGCTGGAGAACTCGATCAGGGAACTCCACGACATGTTCATGGACATGGCGATGCTGGTGGAGAGTCAGGTAAGTCTTACAACCCCTCGAGGATCATTGACATCTCGCAAATACAAGGAGGACACCCGTTCAGCACCCCGAGGACTTTGAAAAAAAGAAAGAAAGAAACGTAAACTCTTAATAGACTTCCCAAAGTCGTCCCCGATTCTGCGGGCCGCTTGTTTCGGTTTTTATCGGGAGATAGAAAATAGAAAATGTAGAAACGGAGACGAGGAAAAGGGGCAAACGCGATAAATGGGCCGAGGAAACCGATCTCGCAACCCCTGGCGAGGAGCCAGATCCGGCATATTGGAGGCCATTGAAAACCGCCGGAAATCCTCGCTAAATCTGCGTTAAAAAGGGGATTTTCGGCGGTGGAAGTGCTGGCTCCTCCGAAACGCGCTCATTTCTCGAGTTCTTGATTTTTTTTATTTTTTTCCTTTTTTTCCCTCTTCCCGGGACCGTTTCAATGGCCGGAAACGGTCGCTCCGCTCGGCCGGGTTCTCACCTCGATGGTTGCCCCTTACTCGGGACTCTCTGAATACGTTTTCGCGGGATTAAGGAGAAAAGGAAGGAAACTACTTCCAACACGGACTTAGCGCAACGCGGTTAAACTCTCTCTCGTCTCTGCCACGTTCTTTCTTCTTCGGTTGTATCCGCCATTCTCAAGTTAATCAGCGCCCCGAGGGGGAAGTTGCCCTTAACCTAAAAAAGGGAAAAAAAAAAATAATTAAGCAACCCTGCAGCCATAAAACATGTCTGGCTTAATTACTCAGTAGATTACCCGCGTCCTCGTCAGACACGGTTTTCCCTGCCACCTGGTAGGAATAATCTACACATAAATAAGAAAATGGGGTAACTTCCCTCCGGGCGATGTCCTCGATAACGCCGCTAATAGTCGCATGACGGAAGCTCAGAGGACTGTAACAACCCCCGTTCGGAAGATTTAACAAGTTCGACTCAACCCCCATGCATTCGGCCCAAGAGGGTGGGCTTGATGAAACTGTAAAGGGAGGATACAGCCAGGCGAAATATAGGCGACGGCCTGTCTGGCGCCGACCGTGTCCTCTCGGCCTGCATTTCCATGAAGCTCACTCCGCTGCACGCACGTGTACATATACATGCACCTTTTCATACATACATATACGGGGATGCATGCGGGGACTCGGTCCGTATCTTCCGACTAACACGTTTCCCTGTGTTGCGCTGTTCCGGTGTTACCGAATGCCAAAACTAGGGCGAGATGATAGATCGCATAGAGTACCACGTGGAGCACGCCGTCGACTACGTGCAGACCGCCACGCAGGACACCAAAAAAGCGCTCAAGTATCAGAGCAAAGCCCGACGGGTGAGTCCTCCCCAAGTTTGCAAGCCCATGTGGATACGTACACGTCTAATTGGTCACTTCTTTGCGTTGTCCCGATTTTTTTTCCATTTTTTTTTCCTCCATTTTTTTCTTCTATCTATCGCCTTCTCCACCACCTCCACCCTCCCACGTTGGTGTGAAACGTCACGCTGACGTTACCCGACCACGTGGTCACGGTACCACGTGACGTCTCGTGTATACACACACCCTGTCTCTGTCTCACTTTCTTTGCGCCTCCCTCTGTCTGTCTTTCTCTCGTTGTCACCTGCCATTACGCACGTGTACGTGGTGCTTGGTGCATACGTATACCCCCCGTATACGTTGCGTATTATATATATATACATATACTTCTATATATACATACTTAACTGGGTGTGCTGGTTGTGCCTCTGTCCACTACTGCTCTCTGTGTACTAACGACTTACTAACCGCTGACTAACTATGTACTGTGTGTACCCGACGATACCGTGCATACATATGTGTATGCTCGTATATACATACATATATATACATATATTTATCTATCTGTATTCTGTAACGTGTGCGTGTGGACATTCGTCATGTGTGCGTCCGCCTATCGCCGAATGTGCCGCTGCCCTTCCATATATACTGCGCCTTTTATATATGTGTGTCCCCGCGTATATACGTTCACACGTCGTACACTCACACCCGTGTACACGTATATAACACGACTCGCATATATCTGTACACTGTCGCTGTCTCTATCTCTCTCTATTTCTGTGCGCGCGCGTGTGTGTGTATATGCGGACATGCCGTATCTCCCGTGTCTCGCCCCCGGTTGGTCCTGATTCCTCGCCCTGATGGCGCCTCCTCTGATTCCGCGTTCCTAACCTCAAAAACCACGCCCGCGGGCGCGAATACGGCAGGGGGAATTGGTGGACCGCATTGAGTACTGCGTCACGCAAACCGGCGACCACGTCGACCAGGCACGGGGAGAGCTGATCAAGGCCGAGGGGTACCAGGTCAAGGCCCGCAAGGTAAAGAAAGGTGGAAGAAGAAGCTAACCAAAAGACCCGCGAGGAACGTGGCGAGCGCCAGACCCAAGGACCTTCCTAACCTATAGCCGACCTCGCCGTCGACGCCTTGTGCCGCCTCGCGGCGCCCTCCGGAGCCGCGTTTTTCCGGTTTTCTCGCTCCCTGGGGGCGTTATTCCGGTTCCGCGGACGGAAACGCGTTCGTTCACTTCCGACGTACCTGCCCTGGGGCGCGGCTTCGAGATTCGTCGCGTGGCTCGCACAAGACGGCCGATCGAAAACGCGAGGTGGGACGCGGCATGACCGTGCATGTCTCTCTCGGGATTTGGCTTCGCCCTGGTGCCGTGGTGGGCGCTCTCGACGCGCTGGCGTGACTCCAGCCTATTCGTGGGCTTGCCGGAACTCATTTTCGTTCTCCTCGGATATTCGACGCCATTTTGGTCCCGATGGTGTCCCTCTCGTGCACAGGACGTTTGCCGCGGTGAATTCCCAAGTCTCGTCCACTTTTTACGCGTCTTGGGACGCGGATACACACGAAATAGGTCTCGGTGGACGAACTCGCGGAGATGTCGCTGTAATCGGCCCCGGTAGACGTCAGAGCACGATGACGCTGTTAACGACCACGCATGCCCCTCCTCTTCCGTTGTCTCTCTTCGTTGTCGACCTCGAATTCTTGCTTCTCGCAGTCGGAGTTTCTTCTACCCTCGGTGGCTTTCCAAGCATGTCGCCATTCGGAGTGTTAACGTTGATGTTCTCTGTCTGTCACGTCCTGGATATAGTTTGAAGTGGGAAAGTACTCTTCGAGTCCTTCCGACTAGCTTCGAGGTGTTTCGAAAAATCCCCCGGAATAATTGGGACCCCGACTGATATGCCACCATTGTGTCTTTCTGTCCACAGAAAATGATCCTAATTTCGATCTGCGCCGTAATTGCCGTCGTCATACTGATCTCCATAGTAGTAGCGTTCCTCCCGAAATCCTAGAACGGCCCTCTATAACTGCACTAATCGCCGCACCCACTAACGTACCAAGGGGAGTCACTAAACCTAGCAGCTTAATTAACGAAATCCACGCGACGAGCCACGGACTCATTAATTAACAGGAGTAACGCTAACGGCGCCGGCGATTAATAAACGATACGTTAAACTGCGCGCCGGCGACACCCTATGTCGAGGAGGACGCCGGAGAACGGACGCTCTTGGCGACGCCGCGAGAAACGCCACGACGCTAATGGGACGCCTACTAATGCTCACCCCGCAAACGCCGATCTGTATTTCCGGCACACATCGCTAACCGTTAACCCGTTAACACCGTTAAAACGACCCGCCCTGTCGCCCTCTTGTCGTCAACGCCAACTCCCTTCCGTAAGATGGCGCGTCGGACCGACAAGCTCACCTCGCGCGTTTCGTCCCACTTTTTAGAGACTTATTCGACCTCCACCCGATTGAATTTCGACTTTTCGCAATCTATCACCTGGCAGGAGTCTGTCTATCCCGAGTTTAGTCGAGAAATTCCTGGTCTTAGTCGGTTTTTTCTCCTGACAAATGCCGAGGTGGACGAACGTCGCCTGGTCCGTTTACGCTCGGTTTTTATGGGGCGTTTACTGCCGATGTTTTTACAGCGAAGGGACTTGTCGTGCCGAGCGCCATTACGTTTGTGTATATATATATATATATGTACATTTTTTTTTAATCAGGGTGAAGAAGTGTGTCGCGAGGGCGTGGGGTGTTTCTCTTGGTTGATGGTGGTGACGGGTCTGGAGGAAAACTTCTCGCCTCGCTTTCACGCGTCTCTGAATTTTTACTCTCTCTCCTGGGTTCCGTATACCATGGCCGCCGGGATCGAGACGTACACGTTGGACGCGTCGGGCTTGTCACGTCAATTACCGGGTGAAAATGGGAAAATGTAGGAGAAGAAACGAGAAATCACGGACGACGCGGTCCGAAATCGAAGAAACTGCCCGACGGGGAGCGTGGTGACGTCTCGTAGTCGCCAAGTTGGAAGCCCTAGGGGAATCCAAGATGGCGACCGGCGGCCATGTCGCATCTACCGTCAGGGAGCGCGGCGCGCCCTGGGATTTACGCTGAGGTTGTTTTGTTCACAGAAAATGATCCTGATCGTAATTTGCCTGACGGTAGCGGTGGTCATTTTGATTATCATTCTGGTACTTAGCTTGCGCTGACGGCGTCGATCTCGTGTGCACACGGTAAGGTGGCGTCGGTGTCGCCCTGGAGGTCGCCGCTCGGATCGCGACGCGACCGGCAAGATGGCGTCGCTCGCGATCCGAGTGGCCGATAACGCGTCGCTTCCTGAATTCGTTTCCCACGGAGGAAACGCCGACATATTCTGTTCTCCGGTGGCGCACACCGACGCATTTACGCGCGAGTTGAGGAAGCACGATCGGCAAGATGACGTCCGCACACTCGCGAGTAGCGTCGCGGTCCTTGGAACGATTATTATTCGCGAACGTTGGACTCGCGCCTAGGCGGCCATTGTTCCGAGTGGACCGCGGCGCGCAGGCGCGGCGGTTCTCCGAGCGGAGCCAGCCTCACCTCGAGTTTTCGTCTCATCGTTTCTCCGTCGCTGGGCCGAATTAAGGCCTGGGAATTAGCTTAGATTATACGTAATCCGTGAAGGATCGATTACCCGAGCCGGCGCGTACGCCGGGTGTACGCGGCTCGATGTAAATGCTACGATTTGTATAGAGCAGTACTACAAACGTGTATAGTTCTCTTTAGGCGAGTCCCCCGTAAATACCCCCTAGTCCCCCGAGAGAACCCTCCCCCCAACTCCACGGAAGAAGAAATCTCATCTTTGGGAAAATACAAAAAACAGTACATGACGTATTATTAAATAACTGTCACGCAATACTCTATGCGATAAAAGTTAATTACGGATTATAAACGGGAGTACGGAGTCCTCGGTGACGGGCATGTGTGTACGTAGGCATACGCGGGCCTACGTACATATAAACCTGCGCGTAACGAGCGAGTAATGCTAATTATCAGCCGCGAACGTACCGAGGCATTGCCGGATAATAATCGAGTAGTCTAATAACTAGCTAATTATGTAACGCGATAACGGTGCACTCTGGCGGCAACAATAACGACATTACCAGTTAACCAGTTAATAAGGGATATTAATAATAACGATTAACGATCAATAAACGACGTCTACTGTAACGAGCTGATCAATTGGCGGGAGGCCGAGACACGTTTCTTAGGCGTTTGCATTATGTATATATGTATACATATATACGTATATTCAAATAAGGCGCGCGAAGAGAAAAAGAAAGATGGCCGCCAAGATGGTGGAGACCCGATCGGCCCGGTTTTTGCGCGCCTTTCGAACGTCCCTTCGAGTAGAACCGCTGAATATCGGATATCCGGAGGGTAATTAATAATTTCCCATGAGTCGCTCCAGTAAAGAGACGGGGTCGTGATCGTAATTCTACCCGCGCGAATTACGCGGAGGTCCGCGTAAGTATCGCGTATATAAAGACGCGCGCGAGAACTCTCGGGTTTTTAGCGAATTGTTGTTAATTAGGAACGACGGTGCCCTCGTAATTAGGAACTGTTAAGTCAATTACGAAGCACGGGGACGATTTCGCATCCGTCCGAGGCGAACTCTGGCGAACAAGATGGCGGCGCGAGAGACGGGCTTCCGCTTCTTCTCGAAGCTGTGGGAGATAGTCCTCGCCCGGAGGAGAGCTCCGATTTGTACCTAAATTATTACACTTCCCAGTTGTGTATGCTTAACGTCTCGCCAAGTATAGAAGATATCGATATACGACTCTCTATCTCGAGATAATTATTTTCCGCACTTAGCTTTCGAGTACTCTCGTGACGTCTCCCCCGGATAAGTGTACGGCGGGTTTTTCTTCGGTCCTTTTTCGGGATCCAGGTGGAGTCGACCGTACGTCGAAAGCAATTAGGGAAACGGGCGTGCCCGTAAATTTCGCGGCCGTGGAAACGAGCGAGTAACAGTATTGGACAGAGAGCCGTCGCAGAGCCAGCATACGGGGAAAGGGAATGTAAGAGAGAAACCCAGGAGAGCACTTTGCGAGTAACGAGGGGAGACAGAGGCGCGAATTAGACGATTCTCTCGCATTCGTCGCCTCCCGAGAGAGAGGGAGGAAACTAGATGCCCGTTTTGACATTCATGTTGTTGCCGAGCGCAGAAGAAGATCATGATCATGATCTGCCTGGCTGTACTCGCGGTCATCGTGGCGACCACCATCGGCGGGTACTTCGGGCTGTGAACACCCGAGGTGAGCATTTTAACTATACCACCCATAATTAACTATAATTCGTAGGAAAAAGAACGGGAGATTTTGGCCAGACCAATCTATGGCGAGGATCTCGCGGACTCGTGGGAAGGAATACAATATGGCGGCAGATTAATCCCAGGTTGCGCAATGTTTCCAGGGGGCTGAGGGACGTGGCAAGCGAGCAAGGAGGTCACGGCTGTACCGCGTCTATCTCGAATCGCCGTACAACCGTACCACGGATATCGCTCTCAGAAGAAGGAGGAAGAAGCCGCCCCCAAGATGGCGGCCCCGGTTGCTGTGCGTGCTCAGGGACGCCCGAAGGCAGAAGAAGAACGGAAGAACCCGCTGCGCTCGCGTTCTATCTATATCTGTCATCGTTTCTCATCCATTGTCGGGGTCTCCGTCGGTCGTCACGGCGGCGTCTTTTCTAGCCACCGTAGCCCGTAGTTCCGTAGTCTAGGACTTAGCGCGATTACGTTATCCGGCGCCATTTTGTATCTTAAGTGGGCCCGCGGCCGGCCCGGCCGGCGTTTGAATTTCGCGCCTAACGTCGGCGGCGGGCCGACCGACGCCATTATTCGCCGCACAGGCGACGATCGCTCGCGGGTTTTCGCGGATACTTTGCTCGATATCCGCGGATACCCGCGAAAGGGACGTGGGAAATAGTCGGGTGCGCCGAACTCGGGAACGGGGGACGCGCGGAAGAGGGACCCGGGATGGCGCGTGTTGTACGTTCTCCAAGATGGCGGCCACTCCGGCTCCACGAAGAACGCGGGCAGGGGACAGGAGCTTCGCTCTGGGACTTTCGTTGGGGACGGGAAAAGGCATCGAGGACTAACGAGAGGACGGTCTTTACGCAGCGGCAGCCTGTTTCGTTAGACCTTGACATTCTAACGACTCTAACGAGCCCCTTTTCCATTAATAGAATGGCGCCTCTCCGGCCTCGTCCGAAAATACGCCCGTGGGAAGTACCGTCTACCGTGAACACCGACGCCAAGGAGACGTACAATATGGCGGGGGTCATGCAGAAAGTACGAGGAGCGGGCGATTCGCCATCCTTGGGTCGCGGGATCGGACCTGGGGAGGGAAATGTGGGGGGAAAAAAAATACTAGGAAAAAGTGTTCGAAACCGACCAGCGCGTTCGGTTAGGCCTCGCGGTCGACGCTCGTTATCCAAGATGGCGCGATCTCGGGGAGGCCGCAGTTAGGCGAATCTTGCAGCAGCAATAATACGACATAGGTGTTATACCGAGTAGAGTTAATGCAGAGGAAGTCGGGGGAGAAGGCGGAAGGAGGCTTCGAGGTCCCCGGCCAAGATGGCCGCCCTGCGGGCGGGAATTTCGAAGCTAGGTCGCGGCCGCGAGAGGGAGCTACTAACGATTAACGGCTTGCCGTTAATCCGGGCCGGTCTGCCGAGGGAACGACGCGATGTTGACGATGTTTTGTTGAGTATATTATACGAACGTTGAGGTATAACGATATTCAGATGATTATGGGTTACCTGTTTAAGACTATTATGGATATATCCGAGGGAAGGGCGGGCGCGCTCGCGCGTCCGCAGCTCGCTGATTATATGATTAACAATTACCGAGACGATTACTTAAGGTCGCCGTGCGTTGTACAGAAAGTGTAATTCTTAGCCCTAGGTAGCCACCGTTAATATATCTACTAACTAATACCCTGGAGTTTGATTAAGGGCTGATATGTTGACGTGCATTTCCCACCGCGACTCGTAGGGCGGTCGGCGTAGGCACTCGCGATATTAATTAAATATAATCCGGCTAAGGTTCGACGCGTCTCAATTACGGGGGAGATCGAGGATCCGTGGGAGGAAAGATGATAAGAAAGTGATACAATGGCGGCCGTTTTCGCGGAATTACGTATGTCGGCCTCGAGCCGCTTCGGCCGTTCTTGCGGAGAGTTCGATCGAGAAAATGGTCATTATTATACGGCTAGGATGAGCGGAGCACGAGGCTTCGACGTGTTCAATATTTAATATTTCCGTTGGACTTCCGCAGGTGCGGCCGCGTGCGAGAATTGCGGACTTCTCGTCCAACGGCGCTCGCGTTGGCGGGGTTGAAAGAAAATGGCGGATCGAGACGCGGCCGAACTTAACGCCTCGGCGGTCTGTACATTCTGAATGTGATTATAAACAGAAGTAATTCAATTAATAATCATTAGTAATCGAGTATCACGCGTCGGTAGGTTGGCACCATTTTGCGCGGGCGGTTCGAACGAGTCCTCACTGTGCAGAGGAGAGATTTAAATATCCAAAGTGATGAGAGAAAATATCACTGAATACCGAGACCGTATATACGTACTTGTCGAAAGAAGTGTCCACGTTCATTGAAACTAAGGCGCACCTCCGAAAAAAAAAAAAACGAGATGAAGTATAAAAACGTCCTCGCCGGGTGGTGCCTCCTTTCCGAGGATACCTACACACCGTGACTCTAGTCAGACTACACACGAGTACACGCGAGTACACACAGTAAGAAAGAAAGAAAAAAAAAGGTCACAGTACTTATCTCTTACTCTCAGATCTTAGCTTAGGATAGCGAGTCCTCGTCATAGGAATTGAGAAAGAGTTAATTTCTTATCGGTAGGTAGAGCCTCGCGGGGCTGACGTCTCCTAAGAGGGAAATATATATGTATACATATGTGTCCATATATACGTATACATATATATGTATATACATATGCATTTACCGAAGCACCTGAAACCTCGGTGGCACAATCGACTGCGCGTTCTAACGAGTTTGGCCTAAAAAAAAGTTCGTACGTTGAGGTTGACACCTAGTTCGCTTCTTGATGCCTTGCGCTTTCACGAGGAGGGACTCGCCCCTCGGCTGGCCAGTCCCTCGTCGTTATCTTAACCCTTTATTACGTCGTTATAATCATTGTATTATCATTATGTCGTTGCATTACGCAGACACGTCCGACACCACCGAAAAAATGGCTGCGCCGCTGTTCAGGTCGAACGATACTGTCCAGCTCTCATGCTCGTCCTATTTCAGGGACGACGCGACTCGGGCTGCTTGGACAATTTTTTTCTGTGTAATTCTGTTCTTGTTTTTTTTTCCCTTATTTATTTGTATTAAGTAGTTTCAACTTAGAGTGCAATGTCGCAACTTGCAGCTCGAGTCGCGTCGTAGAGACATGTCTGCTGGACAGGGCTGCCTCCGAAGGGAGGACTCCCTTCGGAGAGACACCTTCCAAATGGGTCACGGAGTCGAAGTCGAGGATAACTCCGATCTGCCGCTCCTCTAGAATCCACGCGGAATGTGTTCTGTATAAATCCGACTCAAACGGACAGGAATCTATTGACAATAAGGCCGCTCGACTTTGCCGCTCCCGCAAAGACTTCGGCCCCACGTAATTCGGCATGTCGGCCGCAGAGCCCGAGATATAAAGTATTAAAACGAGAGGAAAAATACGGACGAGCGAAAGAAACGACGATGACGATAATTAAGGTGTAATTGTCACCGCGACGGCGGCGAACGGGGTTGCCGGAGATCTCGTCGTTCTTCGCCGCGTCGGCCATCTTTGATTTCTTCCGGAGGGGAAGGCACGCTGGTATTATCGATGGTTTTACCGATTTATTTAGGGGAGTTGCTCGGTAGTTGTACTTCTTTTTTCTTTCTTTCTTTGCCAATGCTAATAACCGGCGAATCGAGACGGAGAGATTCGGCAATCCTGGCGGCAAACAGAATTTCAGCGGTGACCAAGGACGCGCTGGACCTTCGCGCCTCTTCGGAGGAGGACTCCTTGTAGATATTTAATAAATTCCTGGCCGGTGTCTCGTCTTCCCGAGCCGCTCGCTATATTAACCTGTGCATAGGGAAGAAAACGACGAAAGGTTTGCGCGTATCGGGAGAACCGACACTCGTGGATTCGTGCGTAATCGACGCGAATCTTGTTAGGCCGAGGGAAGGGCAAGATGGCGGACCGCGAGATTGACGCGAGTTCTGGAGAGATTTTCCCTCGAGTTCAAAAGTCTTTTCTTCTCTGTGAAACTTGCGAGCGCATCGCCGAGGCGGCAGACCCGAGACCGGGAAATGGTCTCGCGTTTGCCCGAGGGGCACCTCGAGGAGAAGGAAAGTGTGTAGCGTTCAACCTCGGCACCCTACTTCGTAATTTCTTGCATCACGGTATGCGCACTACTGAGTACTGCATTATACATATATACATATAAAAATAATATAAATATATATATATAAATATACATATGTTAAGTATATACCACGAAAATATGTCGGGCGGCATTGTTAAGCGCCACCCATATACATTTCTCGGAAGAGCCCCGACCTCCCGCCATGCGGCGGCGCTAAGATCGCTCAAACTCGATTTATAGGGCTGCCTGGTAGAGGGCGTTGCCACTCTATCTAGTTAACCTCGTCAACCCCGTTGACTGCCCGTTAGATCGTTTTTAAAGCAATTTTAGGCGAAGTGTCGACTTTCTTTTGTAACTGCCGAGTCGCGAGATTCCGTCGCCTCAAATCTCAACGCTTGCTTTATGTAAAGAGACGGATCCCTTATGTATATACGGATTTATTATTTTCGCGGTTTAAGCGAAGCACGTGACGAGAGATGGAAATCTCACCTACTGTGCCGGGTCCGTAGGGCTTTGTTTCGCCGCCAGTCGCGTCGCGATTTTTTATCGACGCGGAAGTTTGAACTTGTTGGAACTTGTCGAGCCTCGACGTCGGTTTAATCGTTGCGGACTTGGCAGACGCCTCCATCCTGAGTGTTTAGACGCGGCGGAGTCGTTGCTTTCGTCGCAAAAACAAGTATAATCTAGTTTCGAGATTTGGTAGCGATGTTAGGAGAAGTTCGGGCTTCCTAAAGATACCCGTGTGATCTCGGCGCCGGGACCTAACCTCTTGCCTCGAGAGAGGTTAGGTCGTCGGACTAATTTTTTGGGCCGTGGATAATGTATATGGGTCGTGTTAATCCAGTGCGGCTGCTGCGCAGGGAGGCTAATTCAATAAACCTTATGAGTGTCAATTCCAACTTTCAACTAAAAATCATAACTTTCAGAGGCGTTCGATGCAGGACACGTCGGGGCGAAAGAGAGCGAGAGCGAGAGCGAGAGAGAGAGAGAGAACGTGGAGAGTTTTAACAAAGGTAGCGTAAACAGGTCGCATGCGTGCGATTAAGTGAGATTATTGATAAATTAAATTATTAACGAGGCGAGTGAGAGGGAGGTTAGGTGGACGGTCTTAGGTCTGTTGCCATCGCCTGCACTTTCCGCAGTCTTGGGGAGAATGTAATCTTCTATCGAGGCTTACACTCTTCGTACCACTGCCGTTAGTGCAGGAGCCTCGAATGGACCCCTAGTTGCATAGTGCAATAGAAGACATTAGAGAAGGTACGAATACTTTTTATCGTAGGCTACTTCATAGGGAGGAATTCACAAATAAAGAGAGTACTGTATTGACGATCGGTTCAATTGATGGAGGAAATAAAGCGACGATGTTTTCTGCCTATACGTACTTATACATATATATATATACGTATATGTATATATATATATAAATATATACACAGAACATTAAACATTCTCGTACCTTGGTCGAAACAGGCTACGTACAACCTTGTATCGAGCACAGATGAGATACACAGAGTAAACCGGATTTACTTTAAGATGGCAAACACAGTACACGTTACACGTTCACACTCTGTACAAAGTTGGCAATAATCTTAAGACCCTTCTGTAATCATTACTTGCTTGGCGAACGAATAAAAGACTACGGTCCTCACATCGGAGTCCTCTGCGGAGCCGGTGGTTACGCTTATCGTTTAATTATCAAGTGAGAATTGCTCTTGTCATTCGTTGCAACAGGGTCTAACTGATGGTTGTTACTTTACTCAGAAATCTTGTTAAATTTCACCAGGGCTAGGTGATAGAGATGCATACGCATAAACGTCTCCGGCTTTGTGTTCCGCTGTTAATTTATGAGATAATTAATCGTTCCCCCTCCCGAATGTCTGCTTGCTGGACTCTTCTGTGACTTCTGCACTTTTATAGTGTAACGAATCCCCTCCCGAGGAAAGGGGATTCCTTTTTGTAGTGTACAGGCTTTTAATCGATGTATCTGATGAAGGGACCGTTCTGTTAACGGCTTAAAATTGTAAAAGATTATTCAGAACTGGGGATTGCATATTTCATCCCGTTGAGGCCCCGAGTCTTAAGCATTGATTAAGGGAATCCCATTGTAGGGGAGATACGGAGCATGAAAGGCTGTCAAGCAAAGGGTGATGATTATGGTAGTCTATATATGTGATCAAGCGAATGTGTCCTTTTCATCGTGTAACCATGCACAAAACAAGAAACAGGAGAATCTCCTTCACAGTTAGTAAGATAGCTATCGATAGTTCGCAAGGATCCTCTCCGAGAGGGGAGGACGAGCATCGACATTAAGAGAAGTTAGCAATTGACTATTATCACACCACGCGCGTTCACCAACCACTCCCATATAAGAATTGCCGTTAAGGGAAGCCAAGTATTTACTGTATAATTATATTCTTTCACGTTGACCACTCGCCATTCTGGTAGTCTTGGGTAGCGTATTTTACATTACCGATAGAATATAGTTATTACTTGTCTTATCTTAATTTTATAATATAATTCATGTCGACGACTAAGTATTCTCCGAATAAAGGTCATATATAGTCAGCAACTCTAGCGATGTTACTGAATTTCTAGTAGAGCACATTATTACTCGCAAGTGGCATTGCGAGATCTTTTGAGCAGTAATTACACAAATAAAGGTATTAGAATTTGAATAACCGAAAGAGAGGAACTTCGACAATGAAGTGACAGCTATAAGTCATTTATTGTACATACATAGTTTATTATAGTCATTATATCATTAAAAAAAACTAGTGACGTCGATTTATGAGACTGCACGATAAGAATCCTATGTATTTCTACTAATGGCAAAGACAATGTTGAATAAGGAGATGTAAAGCTAACGCTATCAAAAAGAAGCCGCTACTTGAAATGAATAATTTAATTAAATGGCTTTGATATGACTTAATGGGAGATAATGTCTAACATAAAGTATAGTGTTTTTTTCAATCCTGGTAAATTCAGGTTAATCAAATAGTAATCTATATAATTGATAATTAAACGCTTGGACATAATCTGATATCTTCGGCGTTTGAGACAATTTTAGCTTTTCTAAACAGACCATCCTTGAACTCTCCATCTCTGGAAATGTCTTCGGGCCCGCGGAGTGCGTGTTCTTTTATGAAATCCTTTACCAGTGAGGGATTAACGTATGACATGGTCAATCGACATCCCCACGTGAGCAGAGCCAAGGGCTGTAAAGAAATTAAAGCTTCTTAGTACTTCTCAAGAAAGAAATAAATTGGAAGGTGAAAATACATTGTTCTATAAAATTTAGAAACTGACTCGATCCTCATCCAAAAGTTGATAAGGGGAAATGACATGTCGCCAGAGACACTCAGAAACCAGCGACTTTAAACGTTTCACTTCCAATGGATTGGCACAAGGATGGTACAGCATGACGACGGCTCCATGCTGAAAAATGTGTATAATTGTATTTTGCATGAGATTATTTTATTCCGTTTGGTGATAATTCAGTACTCGTGTCTAGAAGTATATAATCTTTACCTCTAAACTATGAAGCCATCTCTGCTTTGGTACGAAAGTGTACTCTCCGTAGACTGGCCATACTGGCCTATGGGTGCCACTAAAATATAATATAAACACTTAGGTATTACGGGAAATTATTACAGGAAACTACTGCGTGACGTATTGCTTACTATAACGGAATATCATCCAAATATTCAATCTTTTCTTGCATACATTCGTGTACAGCTTTATACATTTTTGGAATCGACTCGCAGTATATCTGTGGTTTAATAGCGTAGCTTGGAATTATCTTTCTTCCAAAGCAAGTGTAATTTACAGGTGAATGATCCCAATCCATCGTTAGATTAGTCTAGAAAAAATTTCAGTTGGTAAGTCGAAGCCCAAAGCTCGATGCCCGAAGGGTAAATAGAGCACCTTCCCATCGTCGCACCCTGGGATTACATCCATTGGAATCTGATGTTGCGAGTCCGAATCAATTTTTTGTTTTGGAAAGATCTTGGGACGTGGTGTTGGGTCATCTGCCCTGTCAGGCATCCATCGACCTGTCCAGGTTTCATATTCCCTCTCAGTTTCTCTTCGTTGGTCCTGCTGTTTCCTGGCATATGCTTTCAGGAAATCTAATAGGTCATACTTTTCTCTTTCACCCACATCTGCAATATATTGGAGGGACATTTATTTACTGGCCCTTAGTCGTATTTCCAACTGTCACTTGTATTGTCCACGGTAATGTAAAAATTATTTGAGTATGTGGATGGATCGTGACAGCTTACGAATATAGGTTAGGAACGGACGCAATCGGTGTAGACTGGTTAAAATTGATCGGATAACAGTTATACCAAGTAAAAATCACCTTCGTAATTGTCTTCAGTTATATCTGCTGCTGTAAATACAAAAAACACTGCGCTGCAAATTAACAGACCGATGCCAAGTCGATTTGACATTTTGTCTGAGCACTTGTAATTTGACTGGTGCGTGCGCACAGCAATTGCAAATTTGCGAAGCATGCTCAGTTGCCTGCCTAATGAATTCTCGGATTTTCGGTGGAAATAAAATAGGGTATTCTTTTTATTATAATTTATTAACGTTTGAAACAGTCAAATATAATGTCTTTTCTTTTTAAGGTAGGCTTGGATAGATACATTTAATATCCACATTCTGTGTCGAATAATATAGACATTCACACAGTAAAATGTATATTGTAAAATGTAAACATATTTTTGCAATACTTGGAAGCAAACTAGGTGCAGTTTCTTACTTTAAAAGTTTGTAAACTCTTATCAAGTCGTAAACAAGAATCGAGACCATAAACATTTCAGATCTGTACCCTCGATTAATTTCAAAGACAGACAGCTCTTTGTTAAATTATGGTCGAGTTCACTTTGCGCCAATGAATATTTTTAATATCATTATTAGCACAACATTCCATAATTATTCATCAATTTGTACTCGGATCACAGAAACATTCTTAAGGCATGTGCAGGTGAATAGCGCTGTCTGTCTTTAACAATAAATCAGTGATTACCCAAAACATTTAGAAAAATATGTTTTTTCACGGGGAAGAAGGAATACTGCTTTCTTTTAAGATGCAACATTGGCACTGCTTTTTAACACAGGAACATCACGGCACATTCAATTCCCAAAAAGTAGGTCGTCACATTTAGGCACAAAACAATTGGCATCGTAACCTAACGATGACATTTTTAATGCCATTTTTTTACGTACTCCTAAAATCAGAATAAATGTCTTGAACTTCGCGCAAGCGAGGACGAATAAATGCAACGATTAAGATATATGGAGCTGAGTAAAATTTGAAGGAACGACAAGTTAGGAGACCAATGCAAGAAGACATTTCTTGTAATGCCCGGAACAGTCATCCTAGAAAAGAAAAGTAATGATTGAACAATTATTTATTATAGAAAAATGTAAGAAGAAAATTCTATATTGTGCATGGACAAACCGATATGAAATTTTCCAATGATTGTCCATATTGTTGTTGGAAGGATTCCTTTATTTCCCCCATGTCGACTTCGGAACGAGTTACTACAAGACGAATGAGACGTCGATCATCGGTCCCAAAACCTTTCATACTCTTGTAGAGTTGTTCGGCAAAGAAACCTGGTCTGTTCTTAACGCACTTCACTGGAAATAGGTTAAGGAAATGTTGCATTATAGGAAATATTTATTGCTTAATGGGAGGTTAGTTATATTTATTCATAAGTGTGACTTACCGATGGCGAGGAGACCTTTCTTGATGTCCCCAGAGAATTCGTTCTCGATGGCTTCTTCGATGCCATGACCTGTTATGTTCTCGTACTCATAGAAAATCTGCTTTAACTGTGCGGCGTTTCTTTGTACCAAAATTGCATTGAACGTCGACTCGTCGGTTCCAAAGCGTAGCTCCCCTGGAATTATTTAAAAAATTTTATGTGACACTTTACTATGGTTGAAACAAAATGGACGTACCTGCTTGGAGAAGCTCCCTGGCATCCTGTGCCGCAGCAGCAGGATCGATATTAAATGATTCATCACGGTTTGCACAGCACAGAGAAACCATTAGACGCTTAAAGCTTCCGGAGGTGTCGTCCATGAGATCGTCTTCCAAGCTCCTTCCGTAAACTGAATAATTTTAGAATAAATTATAAAAGTTCTATTTGTGAAGATAAACATTTACCCCGATTGCAGTAAATGTGCTCACTCGATTCATAGGCTTGTTTAATCACTCGAATCTCATGATTAGACATAGTGCAAAGAACCTCGATGAGGACACATTCATCCGTGCCTATTCCAGACATCGCATCGTGTAATTCTTTTGCGTAGTACTGCGGCAGTGGAGTCATCATGGCAACAATTAGGTTTTCAAAGTTACCCGACAGCTCTGACTTCAAATCCTTAATCAAATCCTGAGGGAATAAAAATAGTGAATAACATGAAGAATTTCTTTCAATAATCAGGTTTCCCTTACTTTCCCATAGAGAGTTTTAAACTGTGAAGCGATTTCTTGACGCTGCAGGTTGTTGCGGTTTGCCAATACATTGATGATAGTCTTCTCATCAGTGCCGAACCCTTTCATTGCCTTTCGCAGAGCTTCGGCATCCGCTCGAGGATCGAAGGCATCATAGGGCACAACAGTGGGTGACAGCTGTAGCAATAGAAATTATCCTTAAGTAAATCATTAAAGTAGAAAAACTGCTGAGCAAATTCGTCTTAATGTATCTTGAGAAAAGCGACTGTCTCTTTTTCAATTAATGAAAAAGCTCTGGATGATGGTCTCACCTTAGGCTTATTGTGGGTCATCCCAGGGGACAGGTTGGCACTCCGAGGAGGTATCGAAGATGCATTGCCTCTCGGATAAGGTTGGGCACCTCCTATCCCCTGGCCCCCGGGATACCCACTTCCGGAATAGGGACAGGAACTGTTCGGATAAGGAGCCGGCATATTGCCTCCTGGATATTCAGGCACATTGGAGCCCATATTTAAATTAGGATAAGCACCAGGATTTTGTGGCTGGGAATAAGGACCACTCGGAGGCTGGGTGGGATACGAGTGCCCTCCGTGTGTATTCGGAATAGGATAAGGAGAGGCAGCAGGAGGAGAGCTGTATCCACCGCTCTGTGGAACTTGCGAGCCAGATTGCATGGGATACGGAGAAGGCTGTGCAGGATAAACACTAGAATGGGCAGGATATGGACTACACTGAGGTGGATAAGGACTGGATTGAGGTGGATATGGACTTGGTTGATTAGGATAAGGGGCTGGGGTATACGGTTGCGGCATGCCAAACGATGTCGGGGGAGAAGCGAATCCAAAATTGCCAGAGTGAGGGTAAGGTGGAGCACCAGGGGCAGAAGGTGCGCCAGGAGGAGCACCAAACGACATCGGTGGTTTCTGTCCCGGAAACGGTGTTATCGGTGGCCCCTTTTATTCACAACATTGATTAATATTTTTTTATCCTTCCTTTTGGACTCTCGTGCACATTTAACAAACATCTATAGTATCTAAACTACAAACCACTGATATCAAGTCATATTTACCTGATACCCGTAACTCATGTTTGATATCTGACACAGGAGCAGCAGTTCCTCGAACAATATCTGCAACAGATAAAATTCATGACTCGTCGCTGCAGTCATTCAAGTGCGATAACGAACGTGGAGATATTTGTCGGAGGAATCTTACGTTTAAGTTTCTCTCGATAAGTAGCTCCTACCAGTATTGCCTGAAATTGGATAATACAATTAAGTTAATTTCTTGAGAGGAAACTGGAAAGAGGATGACTAGCTTCTAGAGTCCCCTGCGAATGACTAATTAGAAATCGCGTTTCACGTCACGCTATGATAAAACTTCCTGCTCGGGTGTGAGAATAAATACACAGATGGTACACGCCCTCAAAGAACAGTAATCAAATCTAACCTTGTACGCGCAGCTGTGGCCCGTTTCATACCGTACTACAGCTCAACCTGTTAACTACTGACCAACATCGGTTCTTTGTTCAACTTTATATTCTGATACTTTTTAGTCACCAGGTAAAATTGGATCTCACTTCTAAGCCGATACTTGCCAATAGTTTCGGACGAGGGATCGATGAGTAAGGCTTCTGCGTAAATGTCGCATTCTAGAAATCTGGATTACGTAGAATACGAAGAAAATACCGGCCATAGGTGAACTAAGGAAAAACCGTTTTCGTAGTTTTCAACGGGTCTACTTACTCGCTTTAATTTTATTTCTTTACGCGCGTGATATTACGATTGATAGAAATCCACCTCCGCTCTTCTTAATCCCGTGTAATGATTTAATAACTTAAAGCTCCTCAGGATCTGCGACTGCTGTGAAAATGCTAAAAAAACGGGTTTTACGTGACATATTTTTTTTCGACATGGCGCTATCGTACAATTCCTACGTAAACGGAATTAAGATCGACCGAAGATAAGGTTAAGCGTATCTAGACATTTTTTTTAACATGGATAAAGTAGAGCCCAGCTGCATAGTAATATTAATTCCGCCTGCAAGATGGCGCTGTCTGTCTGGCAAAAGAAACGTCGATCGATGTATCAAGTACCGTTACACCCTAGCGCCATCTTCGGTTGGAGAAACCTTTTTTCACGAACCAAATTATCCTACAGCCTATTCAAACTCGTTTATTAAGTGCAGAGGTTATTCCACTAATCGGATACTTGCAGTCCCCGCATATAGATTAATACACGTAAAAGAAACAATCCTTTATCCCTCCTCCCTAGAATTACATTTTCGAAATCGAAAATACCCCTCCCCACGTCTCCAAGCTTGACACCTCAATAGACGACGTGAATTTCCCGAGAAATTTCCTGGAAGCTTGACATAACACGTCCCCCAAGTATTCCACTTCTCATTTCTTCAGGTCCCAGAAAAACCGAGTATTAAATTCCGTACGAGAATCGGGGGACGAAATTCCTTCGTAAGAAGCGAAGCATCGTTCGTGCAAAATCATATCTCCGAAATCTCATCGCGGTCGGACCGGTCTCATATTCGCGCAAAAGGAAGGGCAAAAAGCGGCCTCCGGGCGAGCGCGCGTCGCGCCTCGGCCGGGAGCCGGCAGGGGCGCGCGCGGCGGAGCGAGTGGTGTAGCGGACACTCGTCGCTTCCGAAAGTGCCCCCTCTAGGGGCCGCCCCTTCCCCGCGCCCTCGAAAGTGTGTTTACAGTGCAGGCCGGCCGCGCCACGCTCCACGCGTTCAGTCGGTAGTCCGACGCGCGCCGAGTAGGACGTCGCTCCGCGAGCATCGGGGCCCTCGCTGCCGCCCACGTTGCGAAAGGGGCCCGATAAGGCCCCCCGCGAGTTCGAGCGCCTTCCGGTTACCGTCGACCGTCCCGAGTGATAATAATCAACGAGCCTGCTTACACCGTACATAACAATCGAAGGATATAGCGCCATATCGGTTCGTATCGGAGGAGGAACAAGTGGGCCCCGATCGGGAAATCAGGGGCACGCGTCGCGCGACCTCGAGCTCTTCTTCGAGGCCCTCGCAGGGGCCTGACGGGGCCCCGGGGGGCACGGGGTCGCCATCGATGCTGGATGAGGAGAGACTCACGGGGGATCGCGCTTTCACGGTCAGGCCCGCGCAGGGCCCCGGGGCCCCGGACGATGTCGGGCGCGCCTTAGCGGGGCTAGGCCCCCCCCTGACGTCGGGGCCCGCGACCCAGAAGATGTCGCGGTCCCTGCCCACCCGGAGAGGCCTCCAGGCCCTCGCCCTGGTCCTCGCTACCGCCTACGCCACCGTGCTGCTCTACCACGCGGTCACCCCAGGACAGGTGAGGCCCCTTGGCCCTCACGGGAGTGTTCGTGCCCTCGACCCTTCTCGAACGCGCTTTTTTATTCTCCACCCCGTACGTCGACTCTCTCGCTCGTCGGTCCCAAGGGGCAAAATCGTAGAAAAAATCCGGGCCTCCTCGACGGGCCCCGGTCGTTACTCCGCCGAGCGACGACCTGCGCGCAGGTGCACCGGATAGACGCACCGATGCGTTTCACCGGGGGATTTCGATCGATCGACTCTCCCAATCCCATCGCGTTTTTTTTTTTTTTGGGCCTTATCGTATACGCCGATACCTCATGCGCTATCCGACGCGGCCGGATGCAGGTGCATCTCCGATGCGCGGACCGATCAATTATTGGGCCCGTTAATGCGAGCAGGGCAAAGTCGAGTCGGTGATAAATATGCTAACCGACGAGCGAGAGGGCATATATCCCATAAATATCTAGACACTTATACACGTACACAGTTTTGGGACTCTTTGGATATTTAAAGGATATCTCCCGCAACGAAGCCGGTCGTTGATCGCGCTCGATCGATTAATCGGATTCAATTGGTTTTCCGGTGGATTAAAGATGGCGCTGGAGGACAAGGAGGGGGCAAGCGAGCCGGTCGCCCGGTGCCACCGGGGCCTGGGGCTCCGGGGGGCCCAAAGGGGGCCCGAGGGCACCACTCCGCCCCTCGCCCCCGCGACGGTCGCGCCGTTCGCGACGGACCTCGACGACGTCTTCATAAGCGTCAAGACGACGCATCGTTATCATCGCTCCAGGCTCCCCGTCGTCATCGCCACCTGGTTCCAGCTCGCCAGGAAGCAGGTTCGTCGAAGCGTCACCGATCGGGCCCAACGATCGCGTAGATCGTCTCGAGCGTTTACCTCATTTCCATCATTACCCGGGGGTAAAAGTCAAGGTCTCGGTTTACGGACAAGGTGGAGAAGGAAACCGGAAACGCGCGAAATTTGGGCGGCGTGGCCTAGCCCGACCGATCTCCTTGGGCCCAGTGGGGGGGCAGGGCCCACCTGCAGGTAGCTAGGAGGTGCCAAGTCCCTCGTCCAGGGCGCAGGTGGGGCGACAAGGTGTGCGCAGTCGTTCCGGGGATTTAAGCGGCTCCGTTAAGGGCGCTAATGCCCGCCTACCGCTTTAACGATCCGCGTTAATAATCGACGGGCCCCCCGACGGGGCCTTAGGAAGACCCCATTAACGCCCCCACAGGGTCCTTAACTGGGAAACCTAAGTCCTGGACGTTAATTCCAGGCCCTCGAATCGGGTAGTCGGGGTGTTTGGAAAGTTTCCTTTCTTTTCTTTTGGGCCCTGGTTCTTGAGGGGGAATGGGCCCGTCGAAGGAGCTACCGCGCGGGGGCTTTCTCGCGTCCACGACGCGCCAAGGACGCGGACCCTCGGTATATGGAGGAAAGGAGCGGCTCTAGGAAGCGCAGTGGATTATTAATTGCGACGAATAAGCCCGAGCCGGGGACAGCTGGAGCTGGCCAATTGGACGGCCGCGAAATTGCCGACACTCCGGAATTATCGCGGACGCGAGCGGTGTAACCGGAGCGAGTAGACGCCGAGCGTCCTCGTCGTGGTTTTCGACTCCTCTTTGATGTTCTTCTATTTTATATATTTTTTTTTTTACCCTGGAACCTAGCCCTTAAAGCGAGGAAATGGGACTTGGGGAGGGAAATGGGCCCAGGGTTTCAAAGGGATCCCCGGGCGGAGGTGGAATTCTATCGACGAGGGGGAAGGAATTCGCTGTCAATCCGCTTTCTTTTCTCCCCCCCCCGATGGTGCCGGCCATTATGCGGAGTGACTCGGCCCCGGGTCCCAATTTCGGGGCCCGGGGCCCGAAATTGGCCAATTACGCCGACTATTTCGAACGGCGGGACGCGACCCCCCTATTCTCGCGTCTGCCATTTTTCCGGGACCCCTTGCGCTCTTTTCTTTTTTTCACCTCGTCCCTTTCGCTTCCTGACTCTTCTTCGGAGGCACCGAGATATACCCTGGTCAAGTCTTGGTCTAATCGGATCGACGTTATCGGGGCTCCTTGGAATTGCTTCTTGGATGGGAATGATAAAATATGGGAGGAGGAACCTAGAAGAGGAGGACACGAGGAATATGACGAGCGGACATTCGCTCGAGGAGGCGCGCAAAAATAGACCGCACTGATCGCCGCAATTAGGCCGGGTTATTCGGCCGAGCGTTGCGTGACGTCGCGACGTGTGTTCCTCTCGTGTCGGGTCTCGGGTTCCCCTCCACCTCGGAGGAGGATTTTCTTCCCTTCCGAGAACGCCGAGACCGAGGGTTCGGTTTCCCTGATCTCGTCCTTGCGGGTCTTTCGTCATAGCGATAGGGATTCCTCGTCTCTCGGTGGCCTCTTCGCTCTGAAGAGAGAAACTAGGACCAAGAGGGATCGTGAAAAATTATGAAAAAAAAAAAAAATTCATATTTTCTTGTCTCCCGGAGAAAAAAAAAAATCGGAAAAATCGCAACAAGTGTACATTTACTTTTCGAGTTGATCTGGAGATCGTCAGGAAAATCGTCCTCTCGACGGAGGACCGACTCTAAATGGTCGCGTCGCGACGTCGCCCACTTGACGAGGAGGGCCCGAAGGGCCTCTAAACGCTCCTAAAAATAGGGCCACCCTGACATGTGCAACCGACTACGAGCTGGGGCTCTCGTAAGGACGATTCGTCGACGGCGGAGGAAAGGGAGGGAAAGAGCCGACTCTAAAACCAGTGGTTAGGGATTCGATAAAAGCCCTCGTAAATTTCCTGGAGGATGTACCGCGCTAGCCGCGAACGAACCGACAAGTGGTAACTCGGGCATTTCACTCGGCCAGTTTATATCCGCTGACGGGATAAGACGAGCCCCGAAGAGGGCGAAAAGATGAGGGGCAGACTTTGTCGGAGGCGCCGAGTGCCCGAGCTTGCTGATAAGGGCCCCTTGAAATTCCATGGGATGATTGTTAAACAATTATTCCAGATAGTACGGGGGTCAAGGTGGATGGTATATGGGAGGACGTGGGAAGTCTTAATTAACTATCGCCTACTGATAAGCGACCGATTGTCCCCGTTGTTTACCTGTCACGCGAGCCTCTCCTTTCCCGACTTTCGAGGGCGTCCTGGATTACCGAGTGACCGGTGTCGTTTCTTATGATTCCAGACGTGGTTCTTCACCGACAAGGATGACCAGTACTTCCAGAACCAGACCGGTAAGTGGAACGGTCTCGTTACGCGAGTGCGCTCGCGCTCTAACGAGGACCTCCTCCTCGGTTGCGGCTCCTTCCCTTTTTTTTTTTTAACCCTTCCTCTCCCCCACGAGGACGAATCGAGGAAACGAAAGGGGGTCACTTTTAAATCGGCGGGAGGGGAGGATATCTCTTCCTCCCTCTTTTCTCTGCTTTCGATTAATCCTCTGATAGAGCTCTCCCGGTTTCACTGCGGGGGGTGGTATATGGATATTTATGTATATTTATGTATATTTATGCACACATGTGGATGTGCACGCGAATCTGTGGGGAAAAAAAAAGGGGAGTTCGAGGATCATTCGCCACTTGCGCCGCGATACGTAGACACCTGTTTCGGGCCTTAGGAGAAGAGGGTCAAGGCCAGGGTCCGGTTTCGGGTCAACCTTGAACTTGAACTCTACCGGTAGGGGGGGAGGAGGAAAGGGGAAGAGGCGATTTCGCGACCTCGGGGAAGAGACACCGGTGCAGGATGTTACGGGGAGATTAAGGTCGGAGGGGGAGCACGCGAACCTTCGGCTACACCTGACTTCTGACCTCCGCCCTCCTCTGTCGTCTTCACCTTCGATTTTTCCTCCCTCCCCCCTTTAGAGGATCTAACCCTTCCTCTCATCCCTCTTCGCGTAACCACCTCGCCTCGAAAACGAGGATCTCGTTTCTCTTCGAGGCTTCCAATATCAATTTCTTATATCTTCTTTCCCTCTAGACGGCCACATGATCAACACCAAGTGCCCGCCGACTTACTTCAGGCAGGCCCTAAACTGCAAGATGTCGGTCGAGTTCGACAAGTACCTGGAGAGTGGCAGAAAGTGAGTGGACAATTACTATCCGATCGGTCCGGTATAGGTTTAAGAAATCTTGCGAAATGATAGGGCCCAACTTTTTGGGGGGGCGAGTCGAGGAGGTCCCGGAAGGACTCGACGGGTCGTCCGTCAGTCTTGGTAAATCGAAAGGAAGGACTTGTCGCTTCGAGGGCTCGGTCGGGCCCATTAATCGGGCCCCGAATTATCGCGATGGTCCGCGAGATTAATCGCGGCCCATTACCGCGCCATATCGCGTTGTCCCCGTAATCCGTGACGAGGTCGGATCGACGAGACCCGCGATGGGCCCGTTCCGGATGGAGGATCATTTTTTTTTTTTCGGACCGCCGACTTCATTCCCCCTGGGAGGGGGGTCGGGCCTATTTCGACGGATCGCGGATAACGTCCCTCCAAGTTGATCCGCGTCGATCCGCGTTCGTTCGCCGCGCGGATGGATTAGGGCCCCCGAGGCGGGCCCAAACCGGCGAGATCGGCCGATAGTCATCTGGGACTGACGGACCCATTCGAGGATTTAACGCGAGCCCGGCTAGATCGGAGATAAGCTACAGGAAAATGTTTCTCAGGGCGGACCGTTCAATTAACGGGGCCCGTTTCGCTAACGAGAAGTCGGTCGCGTGGCGCGGTCCCATTTTCTGGGCCTTTTTGGGCCTTTGGGGGGACTTGTGGGTACTTTTCTGGACCCTAGCCTCGAGGAATACCTCGGGAATGATCCCACTCCTCCGAGCCTTGTCACCGATATTATTATCTCGTGTAAAAAACAGCTGGGTAGAGTCTCGCGCCAAGTACACTCGGGATTCTATCCGCGATCGCCTCGGAACTCGCCGCTTCCCACGCCAAAGCTCCCGCCACGAGACACCGGCCTTAAATGCCCGATCGCCTCGATCTCTTTTTCCTTCCTTTTGTCGTCATCGCGCGCCACCGCGTTGAATTTCGACGCTACGTTCCCGGAATAATTCATAGGACCCGGCGGCGACTCGTCGCCGAGGCGCCTTCCCGAAATATCGTTACGTCACTCCCCAGGGTCACCTGTGAAAACAAGCCCTAATGGGCCGTGCCACCTTGGGGTCCGATTTTTCTAACCTCCGCGACTCCCTGGGGAGTCGCCTCAGGTGCGAGGACACTTCCGAGAGGCCTTCGGGCCCGAAAAAGGGACCGAGGCCCTCGGGACCCGAGGGCGCCGCTTAAGGGGGTTCCCGTGTGATTGTTCAAAAAATCCAACTTTTTTTTTTCTTGCACAATTGCATCCGAATATAGTGTAGAATATGTAGGTAAAGTGATTTGTCGATATTCCAAGTCGGAAGTGACAGCGCTTCGGTTTCTTATCTGGGCCCTTTCAATACAAACAGGTACAAACACAATAGAGAGGCGGTAAAAGTTCGCAGTTGTATGTTTATTTAGTTCGCTAAAAAAAAAATTCGGGAAAAAAGCGTGAAAAAAGAGCCTTCACACGGGATGACCCCCTTACGGAAACAAACAGAAGCGACGAGCGATTTTCCTGGGAACGCGGCTTCTGGGAGGAGCGACTCCATGGGAAATTCTCAGGATTTATCGGCTACTCTTGAAAATCGGTTTGCTTGTTCACGGATTTTTTTTTTATTATTTTTTTCTTTGCGCGCGCACGCGTCCTTCCGACGATCGGGGCCTGACGGTGGATCGACCCTAGAAATGTCGAGCTAACCGCGGTCGATATTTAATTAGCCTAAATTCCGACGAGCCTCGTCTATTTTCGACAATTTGAATTTTATACCGCCAGAGTTCGGCGGCCGGGGAAAGCTCGTCTCCGAGGGCCCATTGAGGCCCATTCGGGGGGCTGAATGGGTCCACTCGAGGGGCCCGCATGCGCGACATCCGAGACACTCTCTTCGGCCCTGTCCTGCCTCATCTCTCTCTGTCTTTCTCTCTCCCCGTCCCATTTCTGGGGCCCCGGAGATTGAATCGTCCACTCACGGGGCCCGACGGCCGGGGCCTTACGTACCCCGTCGAACGCGCGGGCCCTGCTCGGGTTATTATCCCCTCGTCTTCTCCGCCGTGTATTCCGCACTTTTGTCCGCCGTCACAAAAGGATTCCCTCCTCCCTTCCCCTTTAACTCTAAGGGGGAGAGAAAAAAAAAATATATATAAATTGGAAAAGGGCCCGGAGATAAGACGGGGCATCGGGCCCAACTTCCACCTGCAGGGGAGGCCAAGAGTTTTCCCCGATCGGGGGCAGGTTCTCGAAAGGAAATAGCGGGAGAACGAGATCGAGCGATCGTTCGCTCCGATTCCAAAGGGAGGGGAGGAGTAGGGCCCCGATGGGCCCCGTTGGGCCCCTTGGATTTCTCGGATTACGAACCAGTCCGCGCAAAAGACGCTCGGAGCACCGGGCTGCAATAAAAATCACCCTCTCCCCCTTTCTCTCTCTCTCCGTTTTTTTTTTCTTATCCCCCGCGTCATTTAATCCGCGAGTTACTCGCGGATCGCGGGATGAGCTCAAAGGAGGGGGGGCTCGATTATCATTCGGGAAGCCGGGCCCGGCACTCTCCTCGGGGAGTCTCTCTCGAGGCTTCCATGGGGCCCATGGCCTCCATTAAGCCGTCAATCCTGCCATAATTGCGCGGATGCCGAGTCCTGGGGGACGCGCCTCCACCTCTCGGCACTCGGTCCTCGCTTCCTCGTCCGAGGCGGCCGTTCCTCTAGATGACCGTACGTCGGCAATTAGGAGAGCGGCCCGTTAATTGCACTCGGGACGACAATTGGGCCCAATCAGAGGCGGCCGAGTGGGCGCCGGAATAATTTCGCGAAACCGCCGCCGACCCGGGATGCGGCCTCGCCGTTGTCCCTCGTACTCTCCCCCGTTATCATCCGTTATCCACGATCAACTCTCGGCCTGGGTTTCTACCTAGTGGGGGGAGTCGACGGAACTCCTCCGCGGGCATTCCGCGGGTATTCCGCGACACAATGGATATTATTCTGCCCGGCGTCGCGCGGCTCGAGAAAGCCGAGGGGTCTCGCGCTTTTCCGCCTTTTGTGTCCCCGTAGCTTTTTGTATTCCCGACGAGGTGGAGGCGCCCATCCCGAAACCGAGTCACGTATCCCAGGAGGAGGCGCCCACGCAGGTAGACGGTGCACCTGCGCAGGGGGGGGGGCATTCGCTCGCTCATGACGTGCACGTAGTCGGCGCGCACCGTCGGGGAGCGTCCTTCGACGAATGAAGGGGAAGAGGGGGAGCGGGTCCCTGGGGAAGAAAAAAAAACATTGCAGACGCCCCGGGAATTTGATCGGCCTCGCTTTTCGTGGGGCTCGACATTGCGCGGAAACACTGTTTTGCGAACGACCGACCGGTGTTTCTTTTCCTCTTTTATTTTCTTATTTTCTCTCTCCGTCGACACGCTCCTCGCGCTCGTCGCAATTATCTCCGGGGACGGGTTCCCTCTCCGCACCTACGATTTATCATGCGGTCCGATTTATCGAAACGGGACCAAAACCGACCTATTCGAACCTCCCCCAGGGGGGCAACGGACCGGACCAGCAGCGAATCCGCGGCTTGTCGCGCCTCTTCGCGATTAGCTCTCCCCCTCTTGACAGGCCATCGGTCAATCGGCGTCAATTGATTTATTTTGACCGATACTTCGCTCACCGAGGCACCGCACTTGGACTCGCGACTCGACATTGGCGAGGATTCGCGGCGACGTAGAGGAGAGATTGATGGTGCGGGGAATGGATTCCGTTTCATTTTTTAGAACCCTCGGGTTGGCTCGATTTCGCGGTCTAACCTGACCGAAAGTAGTCCAAAGTAATGTGAATTAATTTAAACTAATGTAAAATAATTTTACCCTATCTTGCTGTATCTCACTTTTCACGAAACCGTGGAGTCTCGAGGGTCCGAGATACGCGAAACTCGACGCGAAGAGGGACGAGAAGGGCCAAGGGAGCGAATGGACGAGCGCACCTTCCGGGGAAGAGGTCCTGAGAGGAGGTCCTGCGAAAAACAGGTTTGCACCTGACACCGAGTCGGCGATCGGATGACGCGTTCCGATGCGCCGTGCACTGCGGCCATGCAAACGCCCTAACGGGGCGCTTTTTGCAGTTGGTTGCAGCCGCGACTGCAACCGCAGGTGGGACTCTCGTGATCCGTAATCGCGGTGCGTTATCCAAAGGCTCCCAACCGCGTCTGCATGTCCACCAGAAGTCCGAGCGACGAAGTAGGGTCCCGCGCCAAGTACGATTTTTGCGGATGCAAACGCCCTAACAGGGCAATTTTTGCACTTGGTTGCTGCAGCGACTGCAACCGCAACTGCACTCTTGTCGAAGTGATCCATAATCGCGTTGCGTTAGCCAAAGGTCCCAACCGCGTCTAGACGTCCACCAGGAGTCAGAGCGACGAAGTAGAGACCCGCGCCAAGTACATTCTTCTTTTTGACAATTTTTTGTCGGGGAAAAGAAATTCCACGACCGAGGAAAATTATCTATTTGCGAGTGTATTTCCATTGAACGGTTAGACACGAGCAACACAAGCACCGGCAATTTCGCGTCGATTTATGGGCTTCTTCTTGCTGCGAGCTGGACGAGTCGATGGCTCGTTATACGAGTTCGACTCTCTTGGCCGAAGAGGAGCTCTAGATCTGCCCCCGGGGCCGGATGCGCTCCTGGAAAAAGTGGCGTCGCGTGCATGCAGATGAACTGCCCGGTAGAGTCCCTCGCCAAGAGCGTACCCGATACGCACGTGTCTCTATACGCGGTTTAACGGTCTTCGACGTCCTTCGCGGCTTATATCTCAACTCGGTGATATAAAGTATCGAGATATTGGCTGCTTTCTAATGACACCTCGCACGAGGAAATGCCCGCGCTTATCGCAAGCGGAATCGTGCCCCGGCCGTTGGCCGGGGGAAAATAAATCCCTACGTCCTCGTGCGTGTCGGCCGATCGGTTTGTAAAATGTGCCCGACGTCCGTTAACATCGCGTCGAGTCGACGATTATCGTCCGACGAAAGTATCCGGGGTACGGGGAA